GCAGTGAAATTCTACAGAAGAAGTTTATAAATGTTAAGTTTCAGCATGTGCTCCGATCAGCTTTGTTAGGGATGTGGTAAAAAAAACAAAAACAATAGCTAAAACCATTTTCTCAGAGCCTCTGTCCACAAAACATCATTTTCTGTTAAAGCCTTTTTCTTTCCAACTCTTCCCATGACAGAGAGAGCAGACTTTTTGAAAAACTGCTGCTGTCTGTTTCACTGTTTCTATCAGTCAAATAGAGTCAGTCGTGTCATCCTGCTATCCAAATTCAACATGTATTCAAATTAATGTAGCAACTCTGGTTTCAAAAATGTAAATCTGCATTCTTCCAAACAGCCAGCAGGGGGCAAACACCCCTGGATACAGAATGTTGCCAGATTACAAATAGGTAAAATTAACGAGTTTATGGTCTTGATCTCCAGTTTCAAGTATTCTTCTATACATCCTGATGAAGTAAATGTTGGTCCCACTTAGAGTCACCCAGAGCACAAAGCAGGGGCGAAGTTAAGGTGAGGGAAGCTACCTGGGATTGTTATGTTGTTACAACTGTCAACAAAGATGGATCATAACCAATGCATATCCATCCTACCCTCCAAATATGGTCATGTCCTCTTGGTCCCACCAGAAAGTTGCAAAGTTGCATTTCAGTGAATTCATGCAATTCAACCAGTCACAGCACCTGTTTTTGCGACCTTGCAATTTCTGCCACTTTTCTACTAATCACCTCATTCCCCCTAAATGTCTCCAGATCTACGTCTTTTATTTTGATAGTGTTAAAGTCTTCAATGTTCTACAAACCTCATAAACATAATGCTGCTCTCCTACTTACCTGGAAACCTCCTTCACCGAGTTCACACATGATCTGTAGCTAAAGCTGCCTTTTTTTACAGTCTCATGTTTTAACAACTTAAAAAAACTAAGAAATCTTTATTTCAAGCTCTGGGCTGTAATGATTTGATTTACATGATGAGTAATAGAAAATAAAACAACATATCAAGTTTGTCATGTATGGTTGTGGTTCCTTCTGTAACTATAGAAAATGTTTAAGTCTTGGTCAAACCAAGTTGAAACTGCAGAGACAAGAAGGTTGAACAATGATGCCATCTAGTGGTGCATAGTGCGATTGTTTTCATTTAACACTTCTGAATTAAAGTAACCATCCATCCATCATCTACACTGCTTGTCCCGTTAGGGGTCGCGGAGAGCTGGAGCTGATCCCAGCTGTCATTGGGCGAGAGGCGGGGTTACACCCTGGACTGTTCACCAGCCAATCACAGCGCTGACATATAGAGAGAGACAACCAGCCACACTCACATTCACACCTGCGGGCAATTTAGAGTTACCAGTTAACCTAATAAGCACGTCTTTGGACTGTGGGAGGAAGCCGGAGTACCCGGAGAAGTTCTCATTCTCAAAAGAGGAAATTCTGCAGATTGTAATCATAGTTTAGTGTTCCTCATTGCACAAACACTCACACACAGATCACTTCTGTGCTGCTGAACAGAGAAGTGGTTTAATTATTGTAGCTACAATGAACAGTTGGAGTTGTTATGATCCCCTGTGAGTATTAAACTCTTGATGTCTTCTTTTTGTAATTTTCCCTAAACATCTACTTATGTATCTCTGTAGTCCATTTGGTCAATAGGACTACAATTCCCACAAGTGTGGGCGGCTGTGGCTCAGTTGGTCGTCGCCTCTCAACCAAGGTCGAGGGTCCCAGCTGAGCAACGTGTCCTTGGGCAAGACACTTAACCCTGCATTGCTCCTGCTGCTTCGGTGGCGGTGTATGAATGGATTAGTGTTGTACTTACTCACTGATGTACGTCGCTTTGGATAAAAGAGTCTGCTAAGTGAATTGTTACCAATATGGTGCTGCAGACGGCGGCACCATCTTGTCCTGTCAGTTGACCATAATTTAGTCTTTAACTTGATTCTCGCTCTGACTCCACGTCTCAAAAGGCTCTTTAAAGAAGTGAGCATGTCCTCTCTTTTACCGTCTGTACCTTTTTGGTCCTTACAAAGATAAAGTTGAGAAGTTGAGAGGACACAAAGACACACCTGAGTACAGGACGAGTCCGATGATGATGAAGAGTAAACAGGAGACGAGTGCAGCTGGAAGAACACAGATCCCTAGAGTCCAACATGGCAGCCCTGCAGACTCCCCTCCAACTCCTGCAGACACAGAACACTAAAGAGTTCATTTACTGATGTCTTACTGAGTCCAATAAAACCAGATAACCTGTTATCCTCCAGAGTAAAAATACATAAATAAATAACCTTACCATGAACAGCCAGGTGAATCCCTCTGCTGACACAAACATTTTCTGCACATGTCCCGGAGCAGAAATACAGTCCTGCATCCTCCTCCTCCACCTGCAGAATCATCAGAGCACCCAATCCCTTCTCCTCAATGTATCTCCGTCTGTCGGCAGCAGCGTGGTAGTTCACGGGTCTCTCACCAAACGTGTCAAAGGTGACCGTCAGCAGGGGCAGCAGCTGATCGGAGCGCAGCAGGTACCAGGTGATCTGACTGCTGGAGGTCAGGTTACAGCTTAGAGACACATTATGACCTGGCTGGACCACAAGGGCTGTGCGGAGAACAGGTGATGCTGAGGACAGGTGAGCTGCAGCACCTGAGGAAGGTGAGGGATCAAAAGATAATATGTAACAGAATCATTAGATACTGTATGTAACGGCACTTGCTTTGAGACCATTCTCAGGCCTCCTGTCTCCTCCTCAGGTTCACCTTCCATGTTGTCAGTTTGTGACACCTTGAGGAGCTTTAAATTATTTGCAGCTCATAAACCTCCTTATCAATCTGATACTCGCGTCATTAAAAACCCTTATTTCAGACTCTGCCTTTTTAAGACCCCCCCCCCCCCCTTCTCTCTCCACGTGCCCCACTCACTGCCATGAATTAGAACAACAGAACTGTCTTATCTGTGCATGTTAGATCATCTCGTTCATCCAGCTCTGCCTGCACTCATCAGGAGCTTCACGCTGAGCCTGGACCCTCCTCTCGTCTGTGAGCCAGAGTAGGTAACAAGTAACAATGCAGCGCCACACCTGCAGGCTCGATCTTCCGATCTTTTTAAAAAAAACAAAAAAAAACAAAGCTGCCCGAAGAGAGATGTTTCAATGGCACAAATATGTTGGCAAATATTTGTGCAACGTAAACAATGTGTGCAGGAGTTTGCTTGCAATTTCTTTTTTTTGTCTTTTTGTTTTTCCATGGTAGCAGACCCGTTATTGATGTCGGCTGATTGGTTTAAAACGTGTAGTGACAACCCTAAAGTGAGCCGAATAAACAACAAAACTACAGACAGACGATATAAAACGATACCTCCATAAATAAAGCTCTATCTCAAATCAAAAGTCCTTGAATCCCTCCACACACAAACCTTGAAAGGCTTGGAAACGCCCTCGATAATTAAAAACAGAACTTACAAAGCAAAGTGATGATCCACGGGACATCTGCCATTATTTATTAATGATAATCTCCAGGGGTTCAGGGCTCGCGCTGCAGGAGCACGAGGACACAGAGTGGTCAGTGAACGAGCTGTTAGTGTGTGAGGGAGTGAGCAGGGGCTTTTAGACTTAAGAGACCACCATGTCTGTTTTTTTTAAGACAGCAGCGTGTCAACAAACCTTTAGGTTTCCACTTCTCCCACAAAACTGGCCACGAAACTGACGAGGCAGCATCGTGCATGCGCAGTCCTTAGGTTTCGTTTCTGCGGAAAGCTCGAAGCGGTCGCAGCAAATAAAAGCCTGAGAATAAAAACGCACCTCATCTGAACTAAAATGATGAACGTGGAGCATCTTGTGAAGATAAGATTTTACTGTCTTTTCTTGTCCCAGAGGGAAATTTGCCTCGGACTTCGCAGTGCTCTGATGCAGTAGCAAAATATCAAAATACATTAATTCAGTAAAACTTGACTCGTTAAATAATCATTCAATTCCATCCAATTCCAAGTAAATTACTAAAACCATAAATATGTAATAAGTAAGAACAATAATGAACAGTGCAGGTACAGCTACACACACACTACAGTTTAGGTCGTGTTGAGGGCTTTGATGGGGACAAAGGAGTTTTTGAAACGGTTGTTCCTAAGGGAACCCTGTATCGTCTGCCTGAAGGGATGAGCTGGCACCTCACCTGTAAGGTGTGTGTATATGTCTACAGACACTTTATACTTGAGTAAAGGTTTCACTAATGAGGAAACACTTACTGGTGTCGTCTGTAACACAGAATGTGATCCTATCTGTGGAATGAGCGGCTTTAAGGTCTGTACATTTCCGATGAGGGTTGGGTTCTCTGAAAAGATGCTGCGGTGACCTGGGGCCTTCCTGGAAAGTGAACCACACTGACTTGGAGAGAATTGTCTCTGTAGTGGTTTTGAGGTTTCCCCCTTTCATCTTTTTCACAAATGCGGATGCTGCTCTTCAGAAACAACCTTTCAGACTTTCACGATGACCACAGCCTCATTTACATCCGTTTATGCCTTTAATATTGTAAATAAACAAAACACAAAAGATCAACAGAGCCAGCAGGGGAGCGCAGCGCTGTGCGTGTGAGTGTGTGCATGACTGACTGTGTGTGTGTATGTGGAGCTCCAATTCACAGGCTGGGAAACCTTGTTGACGCGTTGCCAAATCAATAAGAATATGTCAGTTTGTTTATGATTTTGTTACAGCGTGGTGACATTTCAGCTGTTTTCTCACAAACCAACACTGAGATTACCATGGTAATGAGTTAATTTCTCAAGGTATGAGAAAACGACTGATATGAACTCGTTATGTATGTATGGATATGACCTTAGGGCCTCCATATGTGAAAAAAATTAATCTGATGAGATATTGGTTATTTTTGTTTTTAAGAATTACGACTAAAAGAAAAAAAATACGACTAAAAGAAAAAAACATCTTGATTTTTCTACCCTGACATCTACACCAAAAGTTGGACTTTATTCTCTGCATTTTAACTTTTGTAAGATAAGATCCAGCAACACCCTCCTCCCCGTATGAGGAGGGAGGCGCACGGGAGCAGAATCGAAACCTAACATTCATAAAGAGAGATCCAGACTGGAAGAGATCACACTCTACCATCAGAGCTGAGAGCAGACAGGAGGAGAAGAGGACTGAGCTAGATTACCAAACAGCAGCGATCATGAAAACTACCACGCACAAATGGTAAGAATCCATGTATTTCTTTTAATCCGATTTCCTATTCGTTTGGAGATTCATTGTATTGTTTTTTTTTTTTACCAGTTTTTCTTGTTTTAAGCATGCGGAATCCTCTCAACAGTCTTTTTTTTCTGTAACTCGTCAGTGAATGAGCTCGTAGTCTGCAGGATTGAAACATTTCCAGAATATAAACTCGCTTTATGTCACGTTAAACTGCGGCTGCTTCACCGCTGCACGCGCGTCGTTTAAACTCGCCGCCTGCTGCAGTTACGTTTCTCTGGAAACCGACAGGTGATCAGAAACGAAACTTACAGGAATTACTTTATGTTAATCCAATCCATGATGACGCCTCTAATGTCAACAGACTGGTGAAATAATAATGAAAACAAACAGTGGGACCCTGAAAATCTGAGTTTGATAAAAAATGTTTTAAGCCTCTGAAACTTTCTGATACTACGCCTGCGTATTTATGTTTTATTATTAAAAGGTTAGAAACCCAATAACTTAATATTTAGATTTTTTTATATACTCGTTAAAGGTTTCATGGAATTAACGTGAACTAGATTATTGTGTATTATATCTTGGAAAATCATCATGGAGCAATTTAGGGCGTTGTTCAATAAGGATCTGATTTGGATGAATGGAGAGATGGAGTGTGTCATGTGTTCGTTGTAAAGCACTTAAAGAGTCGCTGAACAGAGGATCACATCCGCGCACATTCTTCACAACACACTGTCTCTCTTACTCTCTCATTTCTTTTTCTATTCTCTAGACCAGTGGTTCTCAACTGGTGGGTCAGGACCCAAAAGGGGGTCCTGGAGCTGTTTTCAGTGGGTCGCGATTGTGTGCCCGGAAAAAAATAGTGTCAAAAAGTCCATGAAGTGCTTTTTAATGTTTTATTCCGTTTCTTTGTTCTGTGACCTGATCTGAAATTTGGGTCGCAATTCTTCTGTGAAGGAGTTGGTAGTGGGTCCTGAGGCAAGACCAGTTGAGAACCAGTGCTGTAGAGTGACAGCAGTCCCACCTACTGGCCTGAGAAGGATACACTTTCAGAACACAACAGAGGGATGGATGGATGGTTGGAGAGCTTGATGGATGGTTGGAGAGATTGATGGATGGTTGGAGAGATTGATGGATGGGTGGAGAGATTGAAGGATGCCAATTAGGGGTCGGACTCGAACCCGGGCCGTCTGCTTTGAGGACTTTAACTCCCGCATATACCAACCTGCACCCTGAATAACAAATATTATGATTAATAAAATTACAAAATGTCTCATCATACAGTTTGTGTAGAAGGAAGACATGTTTTTTTTTTTTTTGCTTCATTGTATCCGTTGTATTTTAAAAAAAATCTATTTTGATCAATAACGTGCTTGGTTTTAAACTCTGAAAGAACTCGCATATAAGTGTTTTGTTATTTCTCTAATGCCGTGGTTCTCAACTGGAGGATCAGGACCCAAAGGTGGGTCGTGGAGCCATTTTCATTGGGTCACGGACGTGTGCCTGGGAAACCAATCACTCTGCTCATAAAGACAAACCGTGTGGAAAACTGTTGAGTTTTGTGATGTTGACGACGTGCCGTTATGTTTTGTTCTGTCTGGTTGAAAATGTTTCTGAATTTGGGTGGTGCCTTGTCGTGAAGGAGGTGGCGATTGGTCCTGAGGCTACACCAGTTGAGAACCACGGCTTTAGAGTACAAGTGATGGATTCTGACAAGATGAAGTCGGTGTGTTCTGTAACCAATCAGTGATGTTCTCATGACTGTCTCCCAGGTTCTTCAGACATCTCCTCTGTTTCCTGGTTGGGACTTTAGTTGGTGAGTATCTGTTGACGCTCATGAATTCTCTGTTGACAACGGCCGGTGTATGACCGACACTATGCTCCGCTACTTTTTACTGCATGTTTTATATTTTAGATAGTTTATTTCCCGATCAGACTCGGAGCGAGGAGGATGTTGGTACAAGACACCATCTGTAGGAGGAAGAAGTACGAGGAATATCATACATTTAGAAAAGAGCGCCGGGACATCAACAGCACCTTTCTGAAAAGTTGAAATAGCTGGGCGCTAGGATTTATGTCTGCGTGGCCGCCTTCATCTGCAAACGCTCTCTCCTCATTGAAAACAATTGAAAAAGTTGCTGGTGCTTTGGGGACCTAATGTGATTTTGGAGCCAGCCTTTAAAACATGTTTCATTTCATATGACGGTTTAACTTTTCCTTTGATAATAAACAAGATGGAAGCTGTTCAAGAACAGTCAAAGTTTATGTTTTCCACTGAAGTTACTGGGGTACAGGGTCGTCATTATAACAGAACTTTGATATGATTCTAGTAAAAGTAATTTCCTGTTTTCAATTATCAAATCTTGTAAGGAAACTCATGCACACTTTCTAAATACAAGAACACTACATTTAAACTCTGTTATCCCTCATAATCCATTCGAAATCACCCATGAATTCTGATCCATTTCCTCTCCTCAGCTCCTTTAAAAAAAACCTTTGACATCCAAACTGTTAGTCTCAAATGAAGTTGCATCCAATAGAAACACTTGATACCTGAAAGTTTGACTGATGTCTGAAAGTAACGCATTTCAAATAGTAGATCTGCCCCTCTTCCTCTCTTCCTCTAGACTCCTCTTCCCTCCCCTCGTCCACCCTCCCCCGGCCCGTCAACACCAAGGTGGGAGAGCAGGCGGTCCTTCCCTGCAGCTGGAAGACACGCCTGGGGGAGAGGGAGATGGAACTGCCCGCCTGCCACATCCAGTGGAAGAACCCGGCCAACACTGTGTTCGAGCAGCTTGGCCAGCGCAAGTTTGAGGCACCCGGGTTCGAAGGCCGGGTGGGGGTCCAGGAGGAGATGCTGGGGTCCGGGGACTGTTCCCTGATCATCAGGGACGTTCAGATTATGGACATGGGGAGATACGAGAGCTTCATGGTGGTGGACGGAGCGTGGTCCACCAAAACCCGGGTGTTCATTCAGAGCGTCAAGCTGTTAGTGAGCGGTCAGTTTGTTGTCTTTGTTTCCTCTCTCATGTCCTCTACTTTGAAGATGCTCTGTGTATTCTGGGGTATTCATCGTCTAAATGACCTGCAGGTTCAGAAAGAGTTGTAATGGTTCCAGTAAATTGCTGCGATGTCATCCTCTGGGCATATGTGCTCGACCACAGAATGTCCCGTTGTTATTCTAAGGGCCCGACATCATTATGAACAACATTTCTGCCCCTCTACGCCGTATATGTGAACACATAGTTTCACTAGCAGGCTAGCTAGTTAGTTAGTTAGCTAACACAACATGTACTAATAACCTTGTTATGCTGCAGGGAATGTCATTTCTATATTCAACAACAGAAACTACAAGCTACTTCAACGTCATTTGCAATGGATTGTGGGATGTGTAGTTCTTAAACTCCAGCTGAAAACTTGAACACAGCCATTTTTTCATTTTCAGATCAAATGTTTTATAGTCATGAGTATTGGGGTAGCTGGTTGTAGTGGGAACAGGCTTCAATCTGTTGATATAAAGATTTAGTGAAATTAAAATAAACGTCAAAATGTGTCTAAAGACCGCCACGTGAAAGAATCCTGAGACGTGACCTTCTCTTTTGTCAGATGTCTTCGCTCCTCTTCTATTTCGTCTGATTGTTTGTCTCGTCTTTTTGTTTTCTTGGTCATTCTGCTCTCTTGTCGTTTAATGATTCGTCATGATTCTCACATCTTCACTGAATGTTTATTTTTTCTTCTTAGACCACAAGTCCCTTCAGACTCGTGCTCCAGGCGAGGACTTGGTTCTGGACCTGCACACCAGCCACTCTGTCAGAGTCATTTTCCAGGGCAGGTGAGCCAATTACACTGCAAAAACTCAAATCTCAACCAGTGTGTTGGTCTAGTGTCTTATCAAAATATCATTACACTTATAAAAAACTGTTTTCATCTGATAAAGATCCGGATAAAGATCTTATCTCGTGGTCTTATAGACGACAAATACGGCTGGACTTGCTTGTAATTCAGAAAGATATCTTGGGACGGTTCTGGGCAGGGAGCTGGTGTGTTTCCTCCAGCCAATGACAGCGCAGCAGCTGAGTTTAGGAGTGGATACAATTCAGTGATTGGACTGGATTCAAACCAGTGAATATGATAGACGTGGACGTAGCAGCAAAGAAGAGAAAATATAATCACAGTGAGGAGAAACACCAAGCGGATAAAGCTCGTTCTAAAACGAGGGTGAGCCTTGTGTTGGCTTTTGACGTGGAGTTGGTCTGCTTCCTGTTGGACAGGCAGGGGACAAACACCGGCCGTTAGCTTGTGCTAGCGTGCGTTAGCTTTAAGTGTAGGTACAAGCAGTAAACGTAGAAACTACGTCCTGCGAGGGCCGGGCTTCTGGGGGCGATGAGCAGATGTTTTTACGTCTTACAAGCAATTTAGGATTTTTTCTTTCTTATCCTGACGTTTATCTGAACTTGTTATTTGAATGTTGCTTCCATTTAGTGTAGTGAAATATTTTGATGAGACATTAGACGAATACACTCGCCAGGATTTGTGTTTTTGCAGTGTACCTACTGCCCAGAGTACAAACAGAAAAATATTCCTTTCTTCTGCATGCAGTCATCTTCTTGTCACATTTTGTGTTCCATCACGTCTTATCGTCTTGTCTTCTCTGTTTCCTCCCTACATTCTTTAAAATGACTAACACTGACTGCAGGCTGCATGTGTGACGTTATGACTCATCTAATGAGCCTGCTCACTAAACAAAGATGAACCAGAAACAGAATAAAGGGGATGTCGGAAACAATGAGAACAATCCATAAGTCAAACTTTTGCCGCTATTAATGTGTGATCTATTGAGCTTTACATGTACTGCAAACCACCAGATGGCGCCAGTATGATGGGGCTTACTCACTCGGAGGGGACTTGAGATCTTTTGCGAGTGGAGAACCGCGGCACCAACCAACCGTCTACCGTCAGGGAGGCCCAGCGGCGAGAGAGATGGCCTGAGATCAGCAACACAAACAGTTACAAGACTTTTACCTTCCATGACGTCGAAGATTTGTCCATCCATCCAGCAAGCCATCCTTTATCGATACAAATATCTGGTTTGGGGTTTTAGGGCCTGGAGCCGTTCCCAGCTGTCACTTGGTGAGAGTTGGGGCTCCCTGAATAGGTCGCCCACATGCCCGAGTGACCGGGTATCCTCAGCAGCATGTCTCCGTACGAGGCCGGAGTACCCAGAGAGAACCTGCAAACAGCAGAGCGGTCCATCTTAGAGGTATGAACCATGAACCTTCTTACTGTGAGGCTGTGTTAGAGATGATACCCCAAAACTCACCAAGGGCTACCTTCAAACTGTCAAGATCCACCTGCGCGGTACCACCAGAGCCTTTCCATGCTACAGAAAGCTTTCCCGTTTGACTACAGCTGTAGATAGTTGACTTGCGGTTTCTCCCGGCATCAAAACTCCTCAGATACCTGAGTTTGAGTACCTGCAGACTGCACGACTTTGTACGGCAAAGTGACGAGATGGAGCAGCTGATGGATGATGTCTACATGCAGGAGAAGTTGCTGCTTGTAGTCAGTTGGTAAATCAGGGTTGAGAGAGGTTCTCCAACGACACTGATTGGCACCTTACCACCTACATACTGGCTTGACAACTGGACCAGTCCATCTCAACCAGTGCTCCTTCACAGAGACTGAAAAAGTCTGGGACAGTTGCTGATGAAGAGAGCAGAGAGAATGGCGCCCACGCCGTCAGGGGAGCTATCGTCCCCGTCCCATCGCAGACTTGAAGCGATACAGCGGGTGAGTCGTTGAGGCCAGGTGACCTGCTAGAAGAGGCAGTGTAGCGACGGCCCAATAAACATATTTTCCATCATGCTTTTTGCTCGACTGCATGCCTGGTTTGTTACTAAGAAAATGTTGCTAATGCGGTTTGAAGTCTTTTTGTGTTGGTCTGTATTTATTCTTTATTTTTGACCATAACAGTGGAGGCTGTTGCACTTTACGAGGCCCGTGTCTGAGTTTGCGTTCCCTTATTGAGTGATTGTCATTAAAGGGAGTTGACGTTGTGAATAGCAGCACCCCGTCTCTCTTCATGTCGAGATGCAGTGTTGGTGTGAGAAGTCGGACCTGAGCACGAGGGAGAAATCGAAGGAGAGCGACAGGGAAATACTCCTGAAGCTTCGAGAAGGACAGCCATGCGTCTACTTCACAGACCTCCCACAGAGCCGGAGATAGAAATGCTGACACAAGTTGGCGCTGGAGCGATGTGGCTAAAGTGGAGGGGACTATCATCAGCCTATCTTCAGCCTTGAGACCCACCTTCACACAAAAACATCAGAGGGTGGATTTTGGGATTGTAGATACACTGGGATTGTTATTTATTTAGTTGGTATGGCACATAAACTGGGGATAATTTACGAGTTAATAGAAGAAAAGTGAGGAAGGGGTGGGGGGGTGGGGGGGTTAGGGAATTATACAAGTTTGACTTCTACCTCCTCCTTTGCTGACTCTGTGACTCTGGGCACATTCCTGCTCCAAAGAGGTTTAACGTTTTTATTCCAACGACTCTGTGACTGGTCTTAATTTACAAGAAAATGAACGTCTGTTTTGATGTTGAATGTCATTCTCGTCTGAGGATAAAGCTCTTCACCTCCAGGACACGTTTGTCCTCTAATGACGGTTAAACAGTGTTTGATGGTACATTTTCATGAATCTTTAAGAAGCTGTTGATGATTTCCTCTTAGCTAAGAAGTAATCACATTTTCTGAGCTCGTTCTGCCCCCCAGAGGACGAACACTTTTGATTTCTAGCTGCAGAACTCTTACCCAACCATCAGTGTGTTTTCTTTCTACAAGTCACTTTCTGGCAGATCTCATGTCATGCTTTAACGCTGGTTTGGGGTTAACCTCATTGTTAACCCTAGTTATTCTGTTTTCTGCAGGAACAGCTCTGATTGGACGGACCTGTGGATGAAGGACGATGAAAACAGTCAGCGTTTGGAGAAACATCCTCTGAAAGGGCAGCTGATCATTAAGAGTTTGAAGATCTCGGATGAAGGGCTGTACAAAGTCCTGGATGAGCACGGCCTCTCTGTGAGCACCGTGAAGCTCTCCGTGGAAGGTGAGACACCCGCTTTACCTCCCGGTGCGTTAGCCTCCGTCTCAAATGTACCTGGTGTTTGATCAAGTCGTTTTCATGCAATCTGCCACAGAGCAGCTCTAACCCTTGAACTGTGATTTGCTCATCGTATCTGATGTAATGATCCACTCTTTCACAGAGGGCGCCAACTCTCCCAAACTCTCCCAAACTCAAGACAATCAACAATCTACAGGTGAGAAATAACACTTGTGACAGCACAAACAGTTCCACATGAAGAATAATGAATGAAAAATAAATAATTTTTAACCCCTCCTTTTCCCGATCTCTGATGTCTTTCAGACGGAGCTTCTACACACAGTTTCTCCGCTCTTCTCCTCTTGTCTGTTCTCGTCACGACTTTCCAAAGTCTTCATCTTTCCTGAGAAAATGAAATGAGCAAAACAACTGCTCGATCGAAACAACTGCTTGCACACTTACTAACAGAGATGATATGATTGGACTGAAGCGTATCGCCCCTGTGTTCCTGAACATTAGCTGGGATCATTTCAGAAATGAGCCAGGTGTGCTGTGAGTTTGGGGTGTCAGGACAAAAAGACGATTGCTTTAAAGGATGATTACATTTTTAAATTCTGAATCCTAAATCCTTAACATATTCTGAAGTCTAACAGGAACAAAGGTTTTTAAAACTTTCTGCTAATTGGCTTCTGGCAGCAGCAACAGCCCTGAGATTTGTCCACTAAAAGATGTTTTTGTCCCTGACAGGCTAAGGTAGTTATTCTTAGTGACATCATGACAGAAAGGATCCCTGCACAGAAAGACCTCGCCACATGAGACAGCCGTTAGATTGCTCTCTGTGGATATACCAGACTTCTACGGAGCCCCTGAAGTCCCACAAAGTTTGAAAATAAAAATCCTGTCCAACAAGTCATCATCTCATATCTGTGCACAAGATATTATGTTGTGGAAAAAAGTTGTCTTGTGTGTATAAGTTACCATCTAACTTGTGCACTCTTTTTTCTTAACTTCTTGGGACTTCAGGGGCTCCGTAGTCTCTGTTGACAGAATCCTCTTTCTAAGCTCACATAACACCGGAGCCTCTCATGTACTGCTGCATGGATAAATCAGTGTGCTTATGTTATTGTGTTGTGTTGTAAATGATGCGATCGAATACAACACAATAACGCAGGCAAACTATTCCATCTATGTTGACGTGGGGTTCCTGTGTTCTTTGAGGTTAAATGACCGTTTCTATTGGTTAAGTCTGGTGGCTTTAAAGAGAGTCATGTAACGTGAACATCATCTGCCTCTGTAACAGAAAGCTTTCTCTCTGCATCCTCTCTGTAACGTAGTCACACACTTGGAGTAACAACCAGAGCCTGTCAGGGACAAAAACAACAACTTTGAATGTCTGTGTAGCTTCTCAGTCATCCAGGTCATTGAAGCTTCATCCAAAGGCAGCTGGACTGGTTGAAGATCTCAACGACGATTCTCCTCTCCTCCGCCAAAAGACTTCTTCCTGTAATGCACCTTCGAGCACATTAAAAGCGCCTAACATCTTTACCTAATACAAATATGAATATTTTTAAATTTGAACCTGAGTCAAAACTTGATATTAGTCATATTTGGTAAATCTGACTGCAACAAATCCATTTCATCTCCCACACATGTGAAGTCTTGACTATGTACAGCGAGTGATTAAGGTTTTCATTTACATTTATATCCCCTGGGAAGTGATGAGGGCTTTCATAAAAATACTCTTTAATGATTAAATTAATATTCAAGCTTTGTTTATCCTGCTAAATACAAACATATTTGTGATCTTTGTGTCTACACGGCCACTGAGATCATTTAATTTCCATCTAAAGACATTTGACAGCCAATTAGCTTTCAGTTAGCTGTGAAGGTGGCTAATTGTTTTGTTTTATGTGGCTTGATTTCTGCGTTTTGTTTAATACAGTGAGGTTTGCAACACAAATTTGAAAGTTTCATACTTAAGACATCCAAAATGTTTGTATCACAGTGAGTCAGAATATCAAAAAGCTAAGTTAGCTAGTAAGAACAATGCTAACTTAGCTCTTTTGATACTTGGTTCTTTGTTGTTTTTTATGTTGAAATGAGGCTCGATGTCGAGTTTTTTTTTTTTTTCTGACATTAAGGTCACACAATTTTAGTTTGATCTTGTAAAGATGACTCCCGAAACTTTCATGTTGTTTAATAACGCACAGCAATGTAAGCCAGGCAGGAAAAGGAATTCTAAAGTTAGCTGTAACAGAAGCTAAGTGAAATGTTTAAAGTTGTGAGTTGTATTAAGTTCAGTTAAGTTTGTGACAAACTTGAAAAAAATTCAATATTATAAAGATGACATCCAAAAGTTTCGTATTGTGAATTCCAATCAAATTGTTGTGTTAGCTAGGAAGTAGCTTTGCTAACATTAGCCGTAATTGTAGCTAATCTGTGAAATTGTTTTATTTTGGAATGTGGCTCGAGTTTTCAGACTAGTCTTTACAGCGGGAGGAAAATTAAACATTTGTTTGTCATATTCACCTGATGTAAAGAACTTAAAACCTTCAACTCAGACACGACAGCCCGTCAGCGTTTGAACGTCCCACCGTGAGTATGATGAAACAGAAAGACAAGAAAATGGCTGCTGTGTGATTGTAGCAAATGCACATATATACATTTCTGAAGTTGTGTATTTGTTGGCGTTTTACTGTTTGCAATCTTCAAAATATTAAGTTTGCTCTGTCTCCAATATGAAAATATATCCGTCTGTGCTTGTGGTGAATGCTAACAGAAAGTCGGGTTAACGGTAATTGTGTTTTTGGTAATATTAAAGTGATATCTAAAAGTGGTTCTTAGTATTATTAACATGTATCTGTGTTTGTGATGAGATCATTCTAGTTTGAGTGAAGTTATATATATATATATATTATATATATAGTGTTTGATTAATAAAATCTAATCAATAGATCAATAAAAAATAAGCACTTCTCTAGTCTTTTGACGACTCAAAACTCTTCCCCCTTGCAGGTCACACCTACACATTCATACACCGATGGTAGAGGCTGCTGGGTAAAGAGACCATCAGCATTAACTCATCCATTCATACACATTCACACACCGCTGCTGAAGCAGTGGGAGCAACTTGGGGTTAAGTGTCTTGCCCAAGGACACATCGGATGTGGCTGCAGGAGCTGGAGGGATCAAACCCTCGACCTTCTGGTTGAGAAATGACCGACTACCAACTGAGCCCCACAGTGGCCACATAAAAATGTTTTGTATTTATATTATTTATTATTTAACACACAGATGTTCACACTGGAATGACTTCCCAAACAGATTCACCTAATCTACACGAAGTCCGTACAGACAAATCAGCAAAGGCACACAAACCGCTCACTGTTTAAATCAAGTGGCAACTTCCAATGCTCAAGTGTGAAATCCTGTGGATGCTTGAGTGTCCACTTGAGGCTGGCTGCAGAAGCACAGGAAGTCACATACACACCCATTCTAAAAAGCCTGTTTTTACAGCAGAGATGAACATGTTTACAGCCTGGTTCAAAAAAACGAATAGGTCTGATTAGCTCATGTCTCGATCAACACACACTGTACGGGGGGGGGGGGGGTGAATGTTTTGATGACTCGTCCGTTTTGATTTGATGAAGGATAAGAGTTATACACAATAAGGCGTGTAGCTGATCTGATTTACAGGCGGAATGCGGATGCGGTCAGTAAATTCCAGCAAACAAGCCAGAAAAAGAGTTAAGAGTTGATTTAGATTTACACCTTCAGTAGGAAGAATGACCTTCAAGCTTTGGACGGTCAGGAGGTTAGAAATAACTTTAATGTTCTTTTAAAGTATTTAATGAGGATAAGAAAAATACAGAAGAACACCTTTTACCTGTTGAGGATCATTCTCACCTGCTGAAGCTGCAGCACGTGGACAAACACACAGCAAGTTTTCAAGTAATGTGTTTCTCAATAGTGCAGTTTTTTTTTTGTTAAATCATGAGTATCAATTAATCATTTCTTCTACAGAAAATAAAATAAACATGTCTGTTCAGTGTTTCAAGACGGAGCACCAATCCTCATCACGACTCAATCTGTCAACAAGTTTTCAGCTTTTGTTGCTGCCTGAAGTCATTCACTTAACTGTAAGTTTAACACATTTTAGAGAAGCATTTCAACTTAAAATGTCTAAGATTTGAATCCTCATTTATGGTCGGCTGTTTGAAGTTTTTAAATCCAATCATCAGCTCGAGCTTCCAGAGTAGCCGAAGAACTGAAGAGCGAGGACGCGATCCGAAAACATGGTAGTGTTTTTAAATATCATGTTTTAGGCTAAATGTTTTCACTGTTCGCTACGATGATATCACAGCAAACACTGTAGACCCCCCCTCCCCCCGGAGTAGATTTATGTTAGGCATAATTTAGTTTATCCATCAGAATGATTTAGCTCCATGCAGTTGTCGATGGTGTGTTTGAGGACTGATCAACAGTCAGGAGAGTAAGAGCGGATTGCAGGAGGTCGAGTGTTTGGGTGCAAATATTGACGTTACAGAAAGCAAAGATCGACGAGTATCTTCAGAAATGGATCACAAACAGAATCTTCTCTGAAGGTGTTAGCTCTCCTCAAAGTTTAATCTGCAGGTTGCAGGTCAAAGATGAGGTTCATTAAGTACTTCTTTTTTTTTAGGAAAAACAAGGATGTAGGACAAACCAGCAGCAGCCAATCCCAAAGGAGACAGGACTAAAATCTGAAGGCTTATAACTTCATATGTATCAGATAATTCAGACGAGTTGATGTCGGTGACAAGCAGTGGTTGTACAGCTTCATCATAAGACTATAACTGATCTGGTTTTCTTCATTTTAGGACATTATACGTTAACTCTCAATGACTCTGTTTATATCCAGCTCGGACGTCAGAAATGCCTTGAAAATGTAGAGGAGAGTATTTAGGAGGACAGACTGGATGGACTCGGCCCCTCCAGACTTCAGGTGACGTCATGCTCCTGTTTGAAAAACAAACAGTCTGTGTTGTCGATGAACAGTCCTGTCATCGGGGCGGACATTCTGCGGCGTCGTAGCCTCACTGTTAGAAGTTGGGCTTGTGCTTCTTCACCTCCACCATGAGGTGGTGCAGGTTGATGAGCTCTGAGCGGACGGCCAGGCTGCGGAAGGTGGGCTGGTTCAGGATCTTGTGGAAGCCGTGGTAGTACTGGATCAGCTGGGTCAGAGCGCCCTGCGGAAGAAACAAAAAGTTTTGCTTTATTACACAACTCATCGACACACACACAAACACACACCCTTGGCAGCCATGCGGTGAGTTTCTGTTTTCCCAGACATGTTCAAATCGGTGGGCTAAAATTATCTGATTTTGGGTGTCGAGGACTCGAACATGTATTGCTATCATTTCATTTGTACTAGAATCAAATCGTAGTTTAGAAATCCAGAATCCTCTGTCGTCTGTCTCACCTGTATGATGCTGGTTCCATTCTTGAAGTTTGTGAAGGATCTCATGACGTCCTGACTCATCGCCTCCACCGACTGTTTCCACGTACCCGAAAAGCCCCGAACCAGCTGAGTGATCCGAGCTGAGAGACACACACACACACACACACACACACACACACACACACACACACACACACACACACACACACACACACACACACACACACACACACACACACACACACACACACACACACACACACACACACACACACACACACACACACACACACACACACACACACACACACACACACACACACACACACACAGTGAACATGGATGTTGGTGTGTGTCGTGGTTCATTTGAGAACAAACAGTGCGGGTGTGAAAAATACAAAAGAGGATGTGGTCATCTGAAGTGGGAGAGTAAATCTTTCGCCTCAGACTGACAGAGAAACAAAACTGAGACAAGTGTTCCTGAATCAGAGCCGCTTATCGAGTTTTGTTTTGTCTGTAAACGGTGAAGTGAAACCACCACGCTGACTCATGTAGAAACCGCCGAATCAGCGAGAAGGGACGAACATATTCCTGATCTCTCACCTTCCTCGTTCTTCAGCCGGTCCAGCTGCCCTTTCTCCACCAAACCCTCAGCCTCCTTCACGAAGGCGATCATCCCTCCGAACGGGGCGGACAGAATCTCCTCGATAAACTCCTGGAGGTGGGGGGGGGGGGGAGTCAAAGTGACACAGATTTTGTTTTTGAACAATACTTTCAGATAGGATTCTCAAGCCCATTCATTGTCTATATGTTGCAAGGCCATGCTTGTTGTCCAGCTATGTCCATTCTGCTGTATCAGACTCCGTACATACGTGTACTCTGGCTCAGAATGATGTGAACGCAGACGAGCGGGCTAAAGGGGAGTGAGCGCACTCAAGTACGGTACCAGACAATCGCGTCTGATGTAAAAACAGCGTGAAGCACAGAGAAGAAGAAGAGAGTGTAACAGCTGTTTTATTCACCTGCGTCCTGGCCAGCAGCAGCTGCTGGAAACCTTCCACCTCTTTACTGTCGTCTGCTGCCCTCTCCTGGACAAACAAAAGAACAGCAATCACACCCTGGGTGTAACAGTAGTATTGCTTTATGTTCATGTAAGGACATTTAACAGGTCATGTAAATCTGGATAACCACGAGGCCACGAGCAGGTTTTCTTTTCAGCTCACCATGAGAACACTCAGCATCATGTCGTAGTTGTTGATGAGGAAGATGAGCTGGTCTCTTCTGGAGGGAAACTCCGCCGCCATCTTCAGCACAAAATTTTCCACCTCCACCTTGAAAACAAAAAAAAGTTCATAATTTTTACATTGATTCATTTTTTTTTTCGTAAAAGTCTTAAAAATGTAACCTGTTGTTCCTGAGCGTGAAGTCTTTTAAATAACGGCAGTTCATAGAGATATTTTCTACAAATGAAGCCGTTTCTGCCCCAAACACCGCAACAGTTTCTGATTTAGACAACACTATAACCCACCTCAATCAAAGTTTAACTAAACCTCAGAGTTTCAGCCCCCTGGACTTTCAGGGCTGTGGGGTTGGTGGGGGGTAAAGACACGTTACCATCCTTGTATTTTGGTTATTAAGCCATGAGCGACGAATCGAGATGCGGAAGAAATGTGGTTTGAGGTCGAAGACTTCTGTGCTGCAGAGTCTCCTGTAGACCACGACAGTCCAGAGCCGGATCAGTTTGAACCGGTAACACAGACGGCGAGTGTTAAGACCTCAAGTGTCAGGGACAGGGAGGGGCAGGAGAGGAGGGCGTCTCTGATTGGTGGACGACGCCTCGCCATATTTCACAGCTTTTCTTGTCTGTAACAGCAGATGCTCATGAGGTCACTGCACTAAGAGAGTTTCCCTCCAATCTGGAGAAAATACCACATCCAGATGTTTACAGCTGGGAAGAGTTTAGTCACTCGTTAAAGACACTTTTTTAAATTTTTCATTGATTTTATAGTGGTTGCTTTTATACTTCAGTCGTTGCTTTGGCGTGCTAATGACAGTTGTAACAGTGCGCTTTTGCATTTCAATGTGGACGAAGATGTTTTTGAGAACTGAGCGTGTGTGGACTTCTTAATAAAAGGTGCTTTTGAAATAAAATAAAGTGCTGTTGCTGAACCTGTTGTGTGTTTCTCATGAAATGTTTCCTCGTGCTTCTGTTGACCTGGAGGCGTGAATCATTAATTGTTCATAACTAGGTCAGACCCGACATTCACAGATTCCTTGCCAGCTTTGATTCGTAAATATTTGAACTGCTCAGAGTTCATTTCTCTGATTAATTACATTTAATGACACAATTAAAGTGTTAGCATACTTTTCACTACTTCAACTGGCGTGCTAATACTAACCCAGATCTGAGTGTGTGTGCATAACAGTGTTACTCCAATTATTCCTCCCAGAGGGCAACTGAGTGTGTGTGACTGTGTGCGCGTGTGTGTGACTGTGTGCGTGTGTGTGCGTGTGTGTGTGTGTGTGAGTGTGTGACTTTGTGTGTGTGAGTGTGGAGACTGTGTGCATGTGAGACTGTGTGAGTGTGTGTGTGTGTGTGTGTGTGTGTGTGTGTGTGTTGTACCTGCAGCTGTCCGAGCAGAGTGTTGGTTCTCTCATTTGGAAACGTTTGGTTGATGCTGACGATCGCTGACGAGAACTCTGCATAACGACGAGTGATCTGAAACACACAGACACCCGTTACAACAGATTGCACAGCCATGTGTGTGTGCGTGTATGTGTGTGTGTGTTTTAGTGTTTGTAGACCTACGTAGTGCGGTCTGGTGTCCAGTACTCCCAGTTTCTGAGGGTCTGTGTTTCTGATGCTGTGGATGTTCATCTCCAGGATCAGTTCAAACCTCGGCCACAGCAGCTCCAGCACTGCCTCCCAGTACCTGACACCCACAGAACACAGAAAAACACACAGGTGAGGACACGGGGGGGGGGGGTTGGTAAGATCCACTCACTGGTTCATCCCTCTCTCATTCCAGTTCTATAAAGAATGTTCTGGATGTCATCTGCAGTGACGTAGACTAAAAGCTTAAAAATTAAAAGCTGGGGTTGCCTGCAGCCTCATGTGAAGAGGCTGCAGTCTTCGATGGCGGACGGCCCAGTTTGTGACGCATGCACGCAGGCGCAGAATGGTTCAGCTGCATGCACGCCGCACATACGTGTGATTTTTTCATAAAAGTCCCACAAGTACACATGCACGTGCGATGTCTAAGGAGTACGCGCAGCCTGACTTACTGTTTTTTCTTTTCGAGAGAGAGACAGACTTTAGATGTGTGTGTGTGTGTGTCAGGCCTCAGCACAGTTTGCACTCGATAAAGTTCATCATAGATTAAACCTGTTCACATGAATGTGTTTTCACAAACACACAGAGTGCCTTTGATGCAAACAGTCATCTTCAGGTATTTCAGTGTACCATGAACCATTTCGCGCGCCACGCACACGCTGCTGGGTGAAAAACAAACTCAGAATTTTTCATGTCGTTTCATTTACAAAACTGATTCCCAATAATTGCTATGAAACCTTTTCACTCCTTCACAAGAGCAATATTTAGATTTTTCTTTTCCAGCTCGTTCAAAGAGGGAGGATCACGTGTTTGTGGTTGGGTCACTGACTTGTCGAGAGCCGGGATGGTCCTCTTGGCGGTGATGGCTCTGAAGCGGAGGATGATGTGGATGCAGAGGAAGACTGCGATGCTGTCGTAGCAGTCGGAGACATACGTAGACATGCTCTTCTGCAGAGACGGAGACAATAAAACATGTTAAATATACTATTGGGATATCCGTGGGAACTCCTGGCTCCTGCATACATCACCACATCTATACACAACAGGACAACAGCTGGTGACCCTGTTTGTGGATCTGAGGTGAGGCGCTCTGAGCGTACCAGGAACATGCTGAGAGTTTTTCCCATGATGCTGTTGAAGAGGTCGAGGGCGGAGTTTCCTGCCACCATGAAGAAGTCGGAGAGGAAGAGGAACTCTCTGCAGCCGTTGTCCAGCAGAGCGTAGTGCTGGCTGCGAAACAGCATCTCATACGGGTACTGGAGGAGAGAGAGAAGAACTGAGTCTCACAAGAATCCACAAGGTGTCAGTGTGGAGCAGCAGTTTGCTTTGGCAGTAGGGTGCATGCTGGGACATTGTGAGGTGACTTCTTCAACACTTTGCATAGTAATTACAGAGTGATTACAGATCATGTTTGGATGTTTCCTGCTCTATCATCATGGCCTGGTTTCACCCTGAATTCTTCAGATCCTTCTTTTATGATTTCATCAATGACCTCAGGTGAATTCTTCTTCTGCTCAAAATAAAACATGATGAGATTATAATTACAGACGAAAACATTTCTGAACCCTGTCAACTCCTGGGGCGCGCTGGTGGCCGAGGCCAGGTCAGCTTTAGTGACAGATTGTATATTTTTTGGGTAATTTTTGCCTTAAAGGACAGTACAGCTAGAGAGAGAAAGGAAATGTTTTGGAGGAGAGAGCGGGGGATGACATGCAGCAAAGGGACGAGGTCGGATTCAAACCCACGGCCACTGTGACAGGGACTGTAGCCTCCGTACAAGGGGCACGCGACACAGCCACTATGCTATCCTGCACCAGACAGATCTGATGTTTTAAGACTTTAAAGACTGTTGAAGGACCAGCAGGAAACCTTTTTGTTTTGTTGTTAAGATGCATGTGAATGCATCCTAAATGATTGTTTTTGCTATTTTTGTGTAAAACTGTTTGGAGCTTTGTGAGCGTTGACTTTAAAACTGAATGTCTGTCATGTGTTTTGATGTGGTTTCTCACCCTGCTGTCTCCTCTCTGAGCCGTGTGAGGGACCAGGATCGGCCCCTCCAGCTCTGCAGGACTCAGGATGGCCCCCCTCTGACCCAGAGTGAAGATGGTGTTTCTGCTCTTCAGAGACGGTTTGGAGAAAAAACCTGCAGCAGGGAGTCAAGGAGCCTAGCGTGTCGTCAAGTGTGTCAGGGCGGCGGCGGGTCTCAGCTGATTGTTGCCCCAATTACACCTAAATTAGCAGATATGTGATCAACACATTCTTCTGTTCAGCGTGTGAAGCACAAATGTACGACACAGACACACCTTGACACAACTATAAGTTTGTGGAACAGCCTGACCTCACCTGGCTGTGCATGAAAGAGAGCTGGCGAGCAGCTTCTCACCTGATTTCAAACATTTCTTTTCTTTGAGTGCCAGCTCGGAGGATCAGTGTCAGCTGGACACGAGCCACTCAAGTTTTTGTGTTCCAAGTTTGGCTCTTAACCTAATTTCTGTGTTTACAAAACCCATTCAAAAGGAATCCAGGAAGAAGGTCACACACAGATGTGTATGCTTTATCATGTTTGGGCATGATCACACTGGCAATCCGTACCGTGCCGTACTGAAGCATGATTGCCCCCCCCCCCGGCTTTCATTTTTGACATCGGAGGTCGCTGCTTGGGCAGAACGAACCCAAATTGTTTGCTGGAATTGTTGTCTGTTACTCTCTTCTGCCGTCCCTTTCAAGTAACTTCCCAAAAAGTACAAAAACATAAAAACACACACACACACACACACACACACACACACACACACACGCTCAGTGTAAAGGATATCTTTCTTGGCTGTGTCTTCTACTCCCATCAGGTCGTCTTTGTCTGCCACCTCCTCGTACTGCACACAGACAGAACAAACAGATTTCAGATGAATCGTTAAAGTTGAGATGGAGTAAAAACAAAGTGACTGAAACACATTCTGTAGAGCTCTATGATAGAAATGCAGTCAGTCTGACCTCCAGTCACTGGGACTGTATATACAGAGTTCTGTGAATATTCCTCAGACTGGATGAGGGACGGTCAGTGAAGCAGACATGACAGAGGTGAAGGACTAACCTGCACTTTGAGCAGCCGGCTGCTGTACGACTTGAAGTAGCTGTAGTAGATTTTACTCATCGTGTCCACGTACTCGTCTCTGATCTCCTTTGCCACCGATCTCTCATTGGCCAAAAGAAACTGGTAGAAAAACCTAGGAAAGGTCAAATAAAGGGGAAACAATTAAATGAAAGGCCCTGATATTTTCCACCTGCTTTCTCAAACTATCCTTTAATATCTTTTAACGTAGAATCAGCGAGCAGGTTTGTGGAGCTGTGCTCACCTGTACTTCAGCAGAGTGTTCTGAGGGATCTGGTAGTTTGTCATCGGCTTCCTGAACGAGTAGATCTTCTGCAGAATGAACTCTCGGATCTTTGACACCGCCTGAATGAAGACACAAAGAGTCCAACAGATTCCCGTCAGCGAGAGTTTCATGTCTGAAGCAAAAATACTTCTAAGCAGAAACATTTATCCAGAGTTTCTCCGGTCATTAAAAGAAGACACTGAAAATGAAAATCTACTAAATGTTTGTGATCAGCGGTAACCTTGTCTTTAGTTTGCAGTGCTGAAGATCAGCTGTCTTTTGATTTAAAGAGGCAACAATAAGATTTCTCATCATCTGCTCGTTCTCCTGCAAAGATGTTATTCATGTCATCTTTCCAGGTTCTCACATGTTTTGAGCAGATGTTTGGACAAAGTCTGACATTTGATGAAGTCACTTTGGGCTGTATTATTTTGAGATGTCATCATTATCAGTGTGACCTTGAGTTTGAGGCGGTCGACGATGTCCTGGATGTCGGAACAGGCCAGCGTCTCTCTGAAGCTCAGCTCTTTGGCGAAGTTGATCTTGTTGTTGAGCTCGTGAAGCTGCTCCAGAAACTCCTGCTCCGTCACCGGACTGTCCAGGATAGTGCTGCGAAGAAACGGGACAATGTTAGAGTCAGACAGAGTTCTTCCCCCCGCCCCCCCTCTCTCTCCGTTCCACTTACGAGATCATGGTTCCTGGCACCACCAGCTCGTCCACCAGCTGGCTGAGGTGGCTGCGTACAGCCTGCCGGTTCTTCAGACGGACGTTCATGCTGACCGACTGCTGCTGCAGAGTCTGGATCTCACTGCTGATGGAGGACAGGTCGCTCTGGAAGCCGCTCAGCATGCCCTCCATACGCTGAGAGGAGAACAAAATAACAACTGAATTAAGTTCACTCTTACCTCAAAAGAGAAAAGTGCTGCTGTTGACATGGGAGGAGGAGATTGAGCAGAGCCATTGCGACATGATGGGAGATAAAAAGGTTAAAGATCCATTCAGTGAGATGTGGAGTGAGTGAAATGATAAAGTGACCTTACTATATGATCAGACATTAAGGAAACATGCTATGTTGAAGTGCTGGCTTCCAGTGCTGTATGTCCTCCTTCTAACTTTAGATTCTGGTCCTGAATGCTCTGGATTTGTTTGGACCAGAGAAGGTAGGCGGTTTTAAGGCACCCCCAAACGGCCGTTTTGGACGCCCCTCGGTTTGCCAGATATGAGACCAGTTATCAGGTCAAACCAACAGGTGTTGCAGTGATGGAAGCGGTCTAGAGAACTGGTTCAGATAGAAGTGATTGTACCCGACCTAAAAAGCCTCTCCATGTTTCTAATAAGCTCCATGAGCAGAAACGTGCTCAAACTAGGATCAATATTGGAGATGCTTTTGAAAAATGGAGAGAGGTTAGAACACAGAAAGGTTTACAGACCGATGAAGAGCTGGCTAAACACTGAAGCTTCAGTGTCCACCACATGGCAACCTGCGTGAGCATCGACTCTAGAGAGGAGGGGGCGGGGGGAGACAGTTCTCTACAATGTTTAGAATCTGGACTGTAGTACCCATTTTAAACACTAGGTGTCAGAGTTACATATCACTCCTTTAAAGCTGGAGTTTGTTAAGCAACCTTAAAAAATGTTGACGCTGTGCTCAGAACATGTCTAATCCTGCAGTGCATTGTGGGATCAGGATGAAGGCGTCTCGTCTTACCTCCAGGATGGAGTCACAGGCGGTGATCTGGTTGTGCAGCAGAGCGATGTTCTGACTCTCCTTGATGTCTGACAGGGGAACGGTCAGGAACACAGCAACAACAACAACATAATCATCATGTCTTCTGTGTGAGGATTCTTGGTTTTCTCCAAATAAATCATGGAACAAAAGAAACCTTGTTCAGGATAAAAACCGGGATATAGAACGGGATAAAGCTGTGTTGATCTGGGTTGTCGGATAGTCTTGAGCGCATCATCACTGAGGGGCGGCAAGAGCGGGTGCTGTGTCGCCTTTAAATGTCGTAGTAAGCCCATGAACTTCTTTTAAGACCCAACTAAAATCTGAGCTCATAGACAAAGCCTGGGCTTGTCGCTCCCCACAACATCCAGTACGATCAAGGCCACCAGTGACCCGGCAGACCGGTGTGTAGGTGAGCTGACCCAGCCTTATGTTTTCCCTGTTGTGAGCAGCACTTCTGTCACTGTCATCCCTCGACCTTCCTTCACACTTCAAGTGTAGCTGTCGGCAACTTGTAACAACGTAAATAAACAATAAGGTCAGAAGACTTTTGGATCTTTTTCGCTGCCTTGTTTTAAATGAAGTTGCTCATTGGGAGCTGATCAGTGTGCGTACCTTTCTCTTTCTTCTGCAGTTAGAATATTTCTTGTTGTGCACCGGTACTGGGTCATTTTGCTTGGATGTGCACATCTGTATATGTGTCACATGTGTACTCGTTTTATATTTTTTGGGGCTTTTTTATGTCTTCATTGTAGAGACAGGATGGTGGATAGAGTCAGGGACAGAGAGAGTGGGAAATTACATACAGGTTGGATCAAACCTGGGCCGCCTGCTTGGAGGACTGCAGCCTCCGTACATGGGGCATGTGCACTAACCAGAAGGCCACCGACGCCTTAGTTTTCACTTTTTGAAATAAACAATAATGGGAAACAAAATACCTCTTGTGGGACAATAAAGAGAATCTGGTATCAGATATCTTCCACTGAATGTTGGTGTTCAGCTGAGAAATATGATGGATATTACAAACTCTCTGAAGACTTTTCTTCACTCACATTTGAAGACTTTAAAGGAAGATTCTCTTCACTGTAGTTCACATCAGAGAACAAATAACAAGTGGTTTACTATGTGCAGTAAATAAATGGTTCAGTATGACGCCGTGCTGAGGCTCATCCTTAATTTTTTACTCTTTTTTAGTTTTGTCTGACCTCTTCTTGTGACCAAAAACAACAAGATAACAGTTTCTCTATAAAGTTATTTAAGTGTATTTAAGTGTATGTTTGATGTGAGAGGATACAGTCTTTGATGGAGGCCTGTTCGATCCTCTGCAGCTCCGACTCCACCTGTTTGGAGTACTGACGGAGGTCCACGCCCTGAAACAGAACCACCGTCATCACGACTCTTTCTCCCTCAAATACTCACACTGGGGGAGCAATGAAAGCAATCATGGTGCGTCAGAAATAACGAGTTACCGGTCTGATACGTCATCAGGAACGCTCCCCAGATTCTCCCGTGGTGTGAGGTACGTTAAGAGTGATTTTAACCTCCTGATCTACTTTGAAGACGATCCGGCTGCCACGAAATTGTAAATATTAAATGTTGTTCAATATTTAGGATCAGAAATCCTGTTGTGTGGAGAGAACATCGAGGACGGCCCAGCACGCACTCTGTGGATTGTCACATGGAACAGAACAACAACCAATCAGGAAACAAGCTGACTAAAGCAGGAAGCACAACAAACATCACCATGGCGACGACAGCAAACGCAAAGCATAAATTTTAGAGGTCATAAATGGAGGAGCAACTTGTTGATTTGTGGCAACAACACGAGTGTTCATACAACGTGTCTGTAAAACAAACCTCAATCCGACTGACGAGGAAAGGACTGATGTAGCAGGTAGCTAACAGCTAGCCACATTTAGCTTGACCACCATGTTTGTCTACTCTGAAATCGTGTTTGACCACGCAAGATTACACGTTTTGACGCGCAAGACTCTGGTGGCTGGTGAATGAGTCTGTGAGCGTGTGGCTTGCTGAGTCGGCCGTCTCGTTGCTCTCCACACACGGTAAGAACTGAATGGTTCAATCTGTCGTCAAGTGTGTGCTCTCTCGCATATTCACAAATCGCTTAAGATTTTAAAAATAGTTTAGTGTGTGCCAGGCCTTAGTCCTCTTTTTGTGTAATTAGATCGATCGCAGCGATAGTAACGTGAATTTTCTCTCTATGGACATGTTGTCGTGTTGCTTTCACCCTAAAGCTACCAAGTAGTGTGTTATCGTCTGGTCTGAGCGAACACAACAAAGTCACTTCTGAAGGCGTCCATGTTGCCAATCGTTAATGGAACGCGGTTAACATCGGGTGTGACGTCATTCCCAGCTGAGACATCCGAGAACGCACCATCAGCTCTCATTGCTCTCCCAGACCTGCCAGATTAGATCCTGAACTCCAATGTCCCGATGTTCTCACCGTTTTTAACGCCTCCTTCACGAGATCATCCTCCAGATTGGCCTGGATGTGAACTGCAGAGAACAGAGAGAAGCAGCACTCAATACAAACTCATCATCAAACTGAAACTGCTCTGGATAGTGAAGGTTCAAATCTTGTTTTCTTATGTAGGAGGTTTTCTGTGATAGCGACATGACTTTGATGATTGTCAAGGCTTAGAAAATACGATATTCCTTCAGTGGTGAATTTGGGAATGAAAATGTTTCTGTCCAAGTCAACACAATGTTTTGGCCCACTTATATCACGTGATTAATGCTTCATATATTGTTGAATCTTCACCACATGTTGAGAGATTTCAACGTCATATATGCACAGCTTACTGTCCACTTCGTCCAGGATAAACTCGTCAGTGGTCAGATCCAGTTCACCCAAGTTGTGGTTAGCAATTTCACCATCAGTCTTCTAGACAAAAAGGCAAGAAGTAAAACAAATAGATTGTTATTTTTCAGACAACTTATTTGACAAAAGGTAAGGGGTGTTTATGTTGTTTGTTGTTCTTTCTGTTGTTAATCTACTATTTGTAGTCTTTCCCATCTTTCCTATGCCTGTCACACAAACATTCGTAGACTACCAATTAATGAAATTGCTGAGATTAACCTTCTGTTAATCAGAAAAACGCCTGAAGAAGCAGTGACGCTGCTCTGACATCAGGAAATCATGGAGCTTACCTGTGACCTGCTAACAGCTACAACAAGGTATCAAGACACTTTTTGACAACTTATTAAAACAACACACATTTATAAAAGGCGTCATTACTGTCTGTACGTGTTTATCCACCTAGCTTTTGTATGTGTAGTGTACGATATTCTCTGGTACGCATCTTGTATCGTAGCAGTTCATTGATTCATCGACTGGTTTGGACAGTGTAAGTGAATAATTAATCAAATTAATCAGTTTGATTTAAGCATCCAAAAAGAAGTTAAAAGCCCTCACCTCGTCTTGTAAATACGCCATGGCGATATCTGTCTGTTTCCCAGCTGTGTTTACATCGAGAGCAGCTCCAACGACCGATGAAGCAGCTTCCTCCGCCATGATGCTGAAGAACTACAAACATAGACTTCCGCCTCTTTCACCGAAATGATTAAAACGTAATTTTCGTTGTTTCAACGAACATATATCACTTCATTTTAAAATAACTGCGATACACAACTATGGACATTCAGTTTTAGTTTAATTACTTGCGCCTAAATTAACACGTCAACATTTACTTCATGTTAATTTGACGTTCTCGTCGGACAAATTAAAGCGATGCACCGTCTTCCGTTCCCTGACGCCTTCAAGCTCTCGCGAGAACTGAGCCGCTTCCTCTTCGCACGGAACCTACTTCCAAGATGGTGAGTACGATTTGTATCAAGCTGGAATAGTTTCAAATCCGTGATCATCCAGCGTTAATATCACTGTTTTATCACTTTTAAACGTTTTATGTTTGATATCGAAACTAATGAGAGCGGATTTATGTTGAATTGTTGGCATATTAGTCGCAGAAATGGACGTATTAGTACAGATTACTGTCAACGCTGAGATGATGTGCACCAACTCACTGCCGCTAACGAGTTCTTTTGCTCTTTATCCGTGATATAGTCTGCTATTTGGGTTTCATTCAATGTTTAAATTAGGAGTGTAACCTGCCAGCAAAGCGTTACCGGCTCACTGCAGGTTTAGAACACCTGTAGTCTTAATTGTAGTCGGCTAGCTGTGAGGGCTAACTAGCTCCCAGGTGTTAGCATGGTGGGATCATCACATTGTAGATGAAGGAGTTTAAAAACTGGTGTGAGTGAGAGGGGTTTTGTTTATTCTAAGATGCTTCGGTTAAACAAGGAGGACTCTGTCTGTCTGAAGGTTTTGGGGTGATAAAAGTTGGCTTTTAGAGTAGCATTAGCTTTTGTAGTGTTGCAAGTTGGAGCCAAAAATATAGTACATGGAGCATATAGATGAGCTAAAGTTCAGACTTATAAATGTTTGCACAATGTAACTACTGATGACTGCGTAGAAATATATTGCAGCATTTATACACTTTAAAGATAAAAGTCGTGGGGGGGGTGATGCATTAAGGAGTTATAAAACATTACTTACCTGAATGTAGGTGTCAAAGAGTTGTTACTTAACAGTGTTTGGTAAGGATTCAGCATTGTGTCCATTCAACACCGCCACAGCGATCAGTTCCACTATGTTAAAGTAAATCCATAGATCATTTTCATTACTGAGCTGGCATCTCCAACTCTTCTTAAGCTACCCCTACACAAAACCCTTCAGTCAGACATGTGACCAAAGTTGGAATAAAATCACGAGAGCTTTCTAAAGTCGAGTTGTATATTTTCATTAAATATCTTAAATCCTTGCGGCGTCTTGGTGAGTTGCTGAAACATTGTGTGTAGGACGTTATGCTTTTAAAAGTCCTCTAGCGAGTGGACGTTTTTTGGCGTTCCTGCCCTCCTGTTAACGTGTGTTTTGTGTTTTCAGTCTTTGGTCATCCCCGAGAAGTTCCAGCACATTCTTCGTGTTCTCAACACGAATATCGATGGTAGAAGGAAAATCGCCTTCGCCATCACTGCCATCAAGGTGAGGTTCTTTCTTTAATATTCAGTGCCCTGAGTGTTTTTTTTTTTCATAACCTGCACCTTCAGCGGTGTTCTCTTCTGGAAAAACTGATGATTTGGTAGTTAACAGTTGTTACTTTGTGCCTCGTCTCAGGGTGTTGGCAGACGTTATGCACATGTTGTCCTGAGGAAGGCCGACATTGACCTCAGCAAGAGGGCAGGAGAGCTGACTGATGAGGAGGTGAGGAGGGACTGCTGATGTTTCTGATATATCAAAGCTCCAAAAAGATAAAGTTTGAGTAATCATTAAAGTCATAAAGTGTGAGATAGACCCTCAGAACTGACATCACTGTTTTTGTTAATAATGATCTGTTTGTGTTTGTCAGGTCGAGCGTGTGGTGACCATCATGCAGAATCCTCGTCAGTACAAAATCCCTGACTGGTTCCTCAACAGGCAGAAGGACGTCAAGGATGGCAAATACAGCCAGGTAGACGACCGCCTATAAATGTTCATCGGTCGACATATTAAGGTGTCTCTCCTAAAGGGAAGACGACCATGAACACGGTCTAATCTAAGGGTGTTTTTCACCTGTAGATCGTTTGCTCTGGTCTGAATCATGGGCCAACTTGGTCCATTGTTGCACAAGTACCTCAAGTTTGTTCTGTTCACACGATGTCATTTACAGGAGGAGCTAAATGTGTGATGAGCGAGGAAAATGCTCCCCGATTGATCAGAATTTCTTGTGGTAAAACTCCCTGAAGTAAATGAAGCTAGCTGCTTCCTGATTAGCTGTGGCTGCTCCAAAGACTCTTTATAGTTTCTAAATGGACAGATGACTATACAGACTAAAGTTCAGGAGAAGGAGCACGATAATCCTCCTGAAGGAGGACCAGCTCATCCACCCAAACAGTTCCTGAAGCTCCGTCAGGTCTGCCTGTGGTCGTTGGCACGTGTTCAATGGTGATGAGCAGAGAGAGCCCACAGTGGTTACTTCCTGCTGATAGTTCAGATCGAGGTCGCTTCATGTTCTTAATACAGACCCTCCTTTTGAGGCGGCCCCTGTATTGTCATACTGTCCTCACCAGGGTTTGACAGCTTTCACACCCACGCTAACTAACTTGGCAAACAGACTCGAATTCCTTTTAACCTAATTAAAAGGGTAGGTGTGAAAACATGTATGCAAATTTTTCAGAAAACAATCCAAGAATATTTTGGCAGGCCAATGTCTGAAGATGGTACGTTCTTTTGAACACTAAAAACATCCTGTCTATCAACCCTTCAGGTTCTGGCCGACACCCCCTCTCACTGAATCTGTCAGTCACGCGTTGTACCGACATATAAACGGTTCCATTCAGTGACATGTTTCTCTTATTGACTTATCTTGTGCTGCTCATAAAGCAGCATTTTCTTAAGGCACTACAGGAAAGTGGATTCAGGACGGATCGACAGAGTTGATGTAAACTACTGCAGGAAAGCTGAACAGACTTCATGTTTGTGCAGTCGTCTGATTTCATTAAGGTCGATTCAAGCTGTGACGGCGTTATGCTGTACCACAACAAACGCCGTCTGGTCACTGTGAGAAGAAGCAGCGCCTTGATGCTTCTTTGTCAAACTCTTTCTGACGTTGGTTCAGTTTAGCTCCTGGACAAAGTGGTTGACACAAAAGTCCGTCTAGTCGCTGCAATGACCCTCTTGAACCAGCCTGTGTTAAAGTAAAACGTTTTTAGAGCGAGCGTGAGTCAAGTCTTCATGTCAGGCATTCCTCTCCTGCTGCTTCTTTACATCGTCTCTGTAGAGCTAGCAGGAGAATCGTCTGATCTTATAAGACCATTTCAGATATCATGACACATTACGGCATAGAAATGCCTCATAGGGTTTAGTTTAACGACTGTTTTCGATGCAATGATGCTCTTTTTACCATAACGTTTAATCCTTTCTCGTGTTTGTTGGTGATTAAAAATGACAAACGTCTTTGTGCTCACAGGTCCTCGCTAACGGTCTGGACAACAAGCTGAGAGAAGATCTGGAGAGGCTGAAGAAGATCAGGGCTCACCGGGGTCTCAGGCACTTCTGGGGGTAAGAGATCGAGATCTAATATGATCTGTTCATTACGGTGGCTGATGAGGTCAAATGCTAGGCAAAGGCTAAAACGACTTAAATTCTGAAAACGTGCAGCAAATAAGAGGGACATGCAAAAGTCCAAAACAAATGTAACTTCTGAAACGTGCTGCAAAACAAGAGAGATGCATAATGATAGCTTGATCAGTGAGCTCAAAACTCCGACTTCATGTCTATAAAATCAAAGAGAACATTAGTTTGTACTCATTGAAGGAGATTTGAGGGAGACGTGACGTCTTCTGGAAACAACTTATCTAAAGACACCTGACATGATGCTGCATTCACATGGAATCAAGCAGATGTAAACAGCTGTTACATCTGTTGGGACAGAAGTTATAAGCTGCTCAGTTTGCTTTATTCCCTCTAAAAATTAAATCCAGTTCAGCACTTATTATACGTGGTTTAACGCTTTAGCTAACTCTTTAAACATTTAGCTTGCAGGGTCTCAAACGTCTCTGACTCTGCTGCGGTCGAGGTGAACACAGTTCTCTCACGGCTGGATTCTGAATATCAAAGATGTATACTTTATTTTATCCCAGGGGAAATTCAAAGCATCTCACAAGACGCACAACATGAAACACTGAAGGACAACTGAAGCCTTTTGTTGGGGAACTAACTTCAGTGTAGACATATTTCTTGTGTCCATAAAGAAATGAGATGTCACTCTGAGCTGCAGGAGCGCGAGTCTGTGTGAACGCAGCCTGAGGAAGTTGAAGTAGCCGGTTTTAATCTCGTTTAAAGCAGAACGTTGAAGACACACAAACTGGCATCTGCTGGATTTTGTTTCATATCTGTAAACTTGGTTTTGAGGAGGCTTGCTGTTTTTTTTTTTTCTGTCTGATTGTAACCGTTTGCTCTTTCTTTTTCTTACAGTCTGCGTGTGCGCGGTCAGCACACAAAGACCACCGGCCGTCGTGGTCGCACCGTTGGTGTGTCCAAGAAGAAGTAAACTCCCTGCTGCTTCCCTTTGTTTCAATAAAACGCCACCATTGTCAAAAAGCAGTGTGTCCTTGTGTTCTGTTCCTCACCAACACTTTCACATTTGGGGTTTAAGGGCGCTCTCGTGATCTTACTTATGAATACTGAAGTTACACTGATAACCGTACAGATTTGTGCATGTTTGTTTCTGGGACATAACAAGGGTGATGGATCCTTATGAGAGCTGGGACAGAAGGTTGTATGTAGACTGGAGTCATCACTGCTGTTTTAGCTCCTGTTCTAGAGGCTAAAAGAAAAGCATGTTGAGCCGTTTTCACACATGCACTCCTGAAAATATCTCTAGATAATTTCAGGAGGACTGCTCCGGTTATTCTCCTGACCTGGCTGTCCTGAGGTTAGAGGTGATGTTACAAAAAGATGTAGACAAAGCAGTCCTCCAAATGACACTATTGAGAATATGTTGTACAAAAGAATCACAACATGATCTGAAGAGTGGAGTTATTAGAAACAGGCTTTTTAAATCGGGTACAATCACTTCTATCTGAACTAGTTCTCACTAGCCCACTTCCATCGCTGCAACACCTGTTGGTTTGACCTGATAACTGGTCTCATATCTGGCAAACCAAAGGGGTGTCCAAAACCACCTACCTTCTCTGTTCCAAACATCCAGAGCATTCAGGACCAGAATCTAAAGTTAGGAGGAGGACATACTGGCTGCTGCACTGTTGTCAGAGAAGCCAGCACTTCAACATAGCATGTTTCCTTAATGTCTGATCATATAGTAAGGTCACTTTATCATTTCAGTGAAATCTGCTCAAGTTTCTCAGTTATGTGAATTAACCGACACATCACAAAGGGCTCGGGTTGAACTTGGTTTATTGTGCTGCATCACTGAAAGAGGAATAAAGACTTGTATATTACAGAAGCTAAAAGACACGTTGCATTATTCTTCATGTACAAACTGAGGTGAGGTAAGGCCGGAAACTTTTATGGCTGCAGGAGATATAAAGTGCATAAAGACAGAAGGAGGGTGGCTGAAGGTGAATGGCTTTTTAAAGATGGAGGAAGGGAAAGAAATGTCCATGCGAGCTTGCTAAAGGGAATCATGCTGCTTTTAAAACATTGGCTCTTCTTTATTTCTCTTCCAGAACTGCTTGGTTAACATGGCAACTAATAGGAGTCCTAGGTCCCGGAAATGTGGTCATTCCAATCTCATGCACACCGTTCAACTGCACAAACACGTTGGCAGGAGTTAGCCTGCTATATGTGATGGATTCATTCCTCTACTAAACAATTGTTTATGAAAAACCTTAATACAAAAAGAGCCAATGTTAAAAAAAAAAAAAAGAGCAGTAATTGCCCTTTAAAGGTCACATATTAAACAAAATAAATTTTAGCATGGTAACTAATGTGTCTCTAGTCTGTTTACAAACCCCCCCAATGATGAGGAAAAATCCATCCTCTCCATCTTTTGCTTGCTACACTTTTCTGAAAATGTGTGCTCAAACAGGCTGTTTGGAGATTTTCCGTTCATGACATCACAAAGGGCAGTAACCCTTCCCCAGGTGGGTGACGTTCCCACAGCTAGGTGTTTGATCTGCCCTCTGAGTCTGCCTTCTCACCGTTAACAATAGGACATGGAGTCAGAAAGCCCGAGACACCCTAGCCCTTCCAGAGAGGGGCGTGGTCAGACACAGCTCATTTACATTTAAAGGTACAGACACAGAAACAGCCTGTTCTGAGCAGGGCTGAAATAGAGGGGTTTATAGGCATGATCAAATACAGGATCAGAGTGGATTTAGAACAAGAAACTTCACAGACATGTTTTGAGGAGCTCTTAGACTTATTTACACTGAAGAGGAGGAGAATATGTGACCTTTAAATGACTTTTAAAGAAGAATCAGGAGCTGAAGTGAGTTTTTGTTTTTTTATGACATCACAAAGTGGAAAAATGAAAACAAAAAATGTCCACAAGTTTGAAAAACATAATTTTAACCACACTTAACTATGGTAAGTGAACTTTTCATAAAGGGATGAAGGGAGTCCCATCACAAGTTAAATATTGCTGCCTAAATGTGAATAATCCCCCTGTCCACCCCAGTGCATGCTGGGAAGGCCCCCCCCCTTCAGCCCTTGACGATGAAAGAAACAGGAACGATTGAAGTCTCCTTTTTAAACGTAGATGTTGAAGTACGTCAATTCTGTGTCTGATTTAAAGCAGTTAAAACCTTTGCAGCACGATAAAAGAGTAATTGAGCAACATTTATTTGTAGTGCCGAGCGCGCTTCCACGGCAACAACAGGATCTTGTAATTTCATTGAGAGAGCGACAAAGAGCTCCCGTTCAGATCTAAGAAATTAAATCATAAAAAACTTTCCATAAATAGATCAATTCAAACCTGAAGTTTAGATCAAACTGCTGAAAGAACGTTTCTTTTACAACCACTTCGATTGCGCTGATCGATGTTTCTTATGCTGATGGAAATACAAAACTCTGAAGTCTTAAAAGCTATAAACACAAAAACAGAACAGCTTACAGAACTATTTTGAGCTGCAGATTCTCTTTTCACACTTTGTCTGTTTAAATTGCTTTTTAAATTACCGTAAAATCCAGAATATAAATCACATCGGATTATAAGAGCACAGAAATTCAGCAAAACTGAAAAAGCGGTTTGCTTTCTGCTGACGATCCGTTTAGTTCTTCTTGATAAATCCGCCTTCAGAACTCACAATAAAAAAAGCCGTTTTGCATGTGAAACCTGGTGGGACCATCTTCAGTTCTTAAAAGACACACAAAGATAGTACAACAGTGAAACGTGGAAACTTAACTTCAGGTGGTTAAATCAGACGGAGAACATCACGCTGCTCTTGCTCACCCCTCCCTCTGAGGAGGAGGGGGGAGGAGGAGGGGGGGACTTATGCTGTGGGGTTTGTTGTTGTTGTTGTTGTGGTTGTTGGTCCTTTGTGGGAGCGTAATAAAGCTCCAGCGGTTTCCTCACCTTCCAGTATTTCTCGTTGACCAGCTCCAGAGTCAGAGAGCCGTTCAGCGTCTGAGGAGAGAGAGTGGGGGGGGGGGTGAGTCCAATGTAACAGAAGCTCTAATCACACTGCTGTTTGAAGGCTCAATATGAATGTCATGGAGGCGTAATGGGGGGGTTAAGTGATGCCCTGTCTGTGCCGCCTTTGGAGGCCGTAACAGAGACGTTACAGGGGAGAGACGGGAAAGCTTTCTTACGCCGCTGGTTAGGAATTGCAATCCAAAAAGGAGCAGGAGTAGGAAGTGATTAAATGTCAAGAAAATGTCGGTAGAGTCGCCAACAAGTGGAACGTTCTCCTTTTACTTTAACGCAGTGCCATCTTGAGGACATGTTTAGCTTAGGGCAGTCAGCATTAACTTGTGAATCGCATTAATTAAGGTCTGAAATTATTGCTTTTGTTATGCAGATTAATCTCCTGTTATTTTGTCCCTTCAGGCTCACCGTAGATAGTCGTCCTCAGTGTCTCCCTGTAGTCTCAGTGATGTAAAAGAAGGACACTGCTGCATCTTTGAATGTCTCATTTCACTTTAACAAACTCTCAGACAGCTCAGCTGACGAGTCCAAAGTAATATCCGCCTTATGACCTCACACATTGACCTTTGTTACGGTTCCTTTGAGCTGTTTGACCTCAGTTTGGGATCCCTAACCACTTCCTGTTTCTGCACTTAACTTCCTGTCCTAACCTTCATAACCAAAAAGAGCAGTTCTCAAGTGTCAGAGAAAAAAGCCATGTGTGAATAAATGAGAGAATAAAAAACGCTAAAGCATCAAAGCTTCATTAAATCTCTTCAGCGTATGAAGGTTTCACCATAAGTGCTGAATGTATGTAAGCTTTCATGGTTGTATTTCCTGTCCAGTTGAAACATTTTTAAGTCTTGTGAAAAGTGCGCCTGGTTTCGGTTACTCACAGAGAACTGTCCTCCTCTCGTCATGATGTAGATGGTGTACTGTTTCTCACTGACGTGGTTCAGAGTCGAGCCCTCTCCGCTCCCTGCTGCTCCTTTAGTCTCTTCAGCTGCTGCCTCTTCTCTCTCTCTGTCCTCCCTCTCTTTGTTGCTCTGCCCGTCCTCCAGAGCGATACGCAGAGCGAGGTATTTAGACAGATGGTCCACGGTGGCGTTGGCTGTCGTCTTCACAAACCTGCAGAGGAAGATTATGAGATGAATATTAAGGAATCTTAAAGGATACAAGAGGGAAAGTTAACTTGTGAACACCTGACTGCTTTTGAATATACGGCATAGACATTTAAAAAAAATAGGGTCATCTGATCTAGTCTTACCTGGTCTGGTTGTAGTCCTGGGCGTGGACCAGTTGTGGGTGTGGCCTGAACACCAGCTCGATCTCCGAGGCCGGCCCCTCTTTGAGGCGTCTCAGAGGAGGGTTGGGGCTGCAGCTGTCTGCCTCTGGCCCGGAGCCGTCGTCTGACGCTCGGGGGCGTTTTCTGCTCGGTCCAGCCTCTGAGGTGGTCTGACCACGGGAGTGAGGGGCGTGTGAGGGGGCGGAGTCGTGAGACAGGTGAGAGCGGGAGTCGCCATTGTCTTCCGCCCCGCTGAAGGTGGTGTTGTCGCTCTCCTGGGTCGGCTTCTTGACGCGGTGGTTCCTGCAGAGAGGAGGTAATCATGTGACAGTCTGCTTGGCCGATATCTCATAATATTCATAACTTTCTATTTCCTGCTGTAACCCTGAAATCACAACAAAGACGTGACCCTCCATGGTCTCCCCACCTCTCAGACCTGTAGCGGGCCTGCTGTCGGAGCCCCTCCTCGATGCTGGAGCTCAGCGCATCCTTGTTGTGGAGTCTGTTGAGTCGCTCCAGGACCCGGAGCTGGTGGGCCTCATACTCGTCCCGGCTCGGATAAATCTTCGAGATCAGGGCGTCGAAGTTTGAGTCCCTGCGCAGCGAACGCCTGGAGACCAGCTTCTTCCTGCAGGTGGGACACTCTTTGTTCCTGAGAGCGAGGGGAGGAGGAGCCATGTTTACCGTGATTTACGGTTTAAACACTCTGTTTTTTTTAAAAAAGTAAGGAAGCTGTGTGTGCGCTCACCCTGATCGCAGCGCGGTCACGATGCAGTCGGAGCAGAAGCGGTGCAGACACTCTTTGGTCGTCATGGTGTTCTTCAGCATGTCCAGACAGATGGGACACATGAGCTCACTGTGCAGAGCACGAGGAGACACGGCCACCTCCGTACCGTCCACAATGGCCTCCTCAACAAACACAGACATTAAGTTTAATGATCTCCACTTGGGACATCAAGTGTCTGCAGAAGCAGTTGCCAAAATTAAATTTTTTCGCCAATGTCCGCATTTTTAAACCTGTGCCAAATTATTTCAGTGTCGGGGTCAAAAAGTTTTTAAATAATTTCTGCAGACTGTTTCAGTCAGCAGTCGTGAAACAGGCTGCAGTGGTTGCAACATCATCTTTGTGGTATTTAAAACAATCCAAGTACAACTGACGGCCGTTGTTTTTGTCCCTGACAGGCTCAGGTAGTTATTCTAAGTTTCTAAATACACATTTGTTCAAATGAGACCTCAAGTGGGCCGGACTAATTTTACAGACATCACTGTAACTCAACACATGGATATATAGGCTAATATATGATTACAAAAAAAGACAAAAAAAAGGTACTTCTATAGAAAACTGCATGTTAACACATAAAATGTAAAAGTACAGTAAGCAGAGGGGTTAACTCTGTCATTGCACATGGATATATTTAAATGTACCACATTACAGAAGAAAAAAATCAATAATTATGTTTTGTTTGAGATTATTATATTATGTTTTAATATTGCTGTTCAAGGTTATACAAACTTTGACACAGGTTATTCTACCTGCCCTGGGATCAGTGCATTACTAGAGAGATTTTACATGTTTTCATTTCATCACTGCAGCTGTTCCATAAATTAACACCCTTTGTTGTAATACCGTGTAGTTTCATGTTGGTCCTTACTGCTGGGTTTTTTTTAACATAAATATTCCTCTAAGATTGTGTTTACTGTCCCTCTGCTGAAAAAAAACTTTTGGATACCGTTTGGTATCTGATCATTTTTAACTTCGTACATGATTTGAGTGGTTTTAAAGTCGACCAAGTCCTTAAGTTTCAGTGTTTTCAGTTTGATGAAGAGTGGGTTGGTTGGTTCTCTGTAGTTGGAGTTAGTTATAATTCTTATGGCTCTTTTCTGGAGAATGAAGACTGGTTCTGTATTTGTTTTGTACGTGTTCCCCCACACTTCCACACAGTAACTAATATATGGGAGTATTAGGGAGCAGTACAAGTGACTGTTGATTTAACAGCCCTTTCACTTTTCACTTAGTCTGGATGTGTGGAGACGGTCTGGGCCATTACGCAGCACGGAGAGGATTGTTTCTTATTTGCACGAGCTGCTCTTTGTGGCTCACTCCATAGGAAGCTTTGTTATTATTAGTAAAACTTTTGTTTTACATCAGTCAATACAGGAGAAACTGGTAAGAAGTGTGGACGGAACTGAAGACCGTCAGGATGCGCGTGCAGTGCAGCAGTGTGCCTGTCGTTAAGTCCCGTAGCTTTGATAACATTCTGGCAACTTGTGAGCAAATAAAACTAAAGAAATATCGCTCCTTTGATCTCTCTTGAAAACCTGCATTTTGTGTCACCTCTCTTAGTGTTCAGCCTGTTTTCTGATGTGATGTATTACCAGCATAATGCAGGAGCAGCTCGTGATACTCCCTACTGAAAAAATAATTCTAAGTGCCCCGTTTAATTAATATTCGTATCATGATATCAACCTTCACGTTGCTCATTTTACATAGGTTTTAATACAATTCGGGGAAAATACGTATTACAAATATTTAATTTATAAAAAAATTCAAAATATTTTTCAATACATTTCCTCCTTCTTCCCAAAACGTCTCGCGGGCCTGATGAAACCTGCTGTCGGGCCGTATGTCTGACATCCCTGCTTTAAGAGGTCATGGTGAGTATTTAGGTGTAAAATAAAATGTGGTCATTGTTGCTTAAAATTGGGATGGACCATGTTTTTTTTTTTTTTTTGCCCTACCCTCCTCGGGCCATCCACATGAGAATGAACCCCAGAAAGCTTTCCCCTTTATGACCGTGATCTAGAAACGCTTACGTGACATTCAATTAAGGACAGAGTTATTTTCAGAGGTTGTACTTGATTTCTATTATATTTAAGTGTGAAAAATCGCATATTAAGCCTATAAGATAAAAAACTTCACACAACATCCTGGTGAAATTCTTCAGTGGTCGTCTCGTGCATACACATACACACACAGATAAGTGTTTACCTGAGGGCTCCTGTGAAGCTCGTACAGACTCAGCTCCCAGGTCTTACTGGGAGCCTGGATGTTCACTGGAGCTGCCATGCCTGCTGGTTCCCAGGCGTCACTGAGCTGAGACAGGAAGAGAGAGGAATAGTGGTTTAGTCCCCAAAAAAATAACTCTTACTTTTAATCAAGTGTTTGAAATACTCGAGTGCTTGATTTTAGCAGCATATGCACCTGTTCAAATTTTTATTGGCTACAAGAAACGTCTGCCATCGTCACAGTTGCGTGCAATTGGCCGAGAATTGATACATCAGTACAGGGTCAGTCACCTCCTTTCAACTCAGGCTCTCATAGATTGGCCAAACGAGGTGTCACCCAAGAGGTCAGATTGCGGCCGCCATTTTGCCGTATTGCAATTGTAAAAAAAAGTATCCATAAACAGTGTTTACCACACATGGACGATGCTTGTGAGGGCCGCTTAAGTATACTTCTGTTACCTGTTTTTATTTATTTTCTGTTTTAATCATATAATTGCGGCGCACACGAGAGAGCCGGGAGAGAGAACGTGGTCGCACAAGGACCTCACCAGCGGCTCTGTGCAACTTAATGAAACTCATGTCTAAAGAAAGAATTCCCTTTCAACTCCTGCTGAGAGATAAGACGCAGCCAAACCAAGAGAGCAGAATCACAACCTAAAGAATCACAGCCGAGCAGACGGCAAAGAACTAGTGGCGTCGCCTCATGTCACCTTTTGTCTTGACCAAAAAGTTGCACTGGAACACACCACAAAGACTGCAGCCGACGGCCAACCACCACGTACGTTCTGCTCATGCGTGAGAGGAAATAACTCTCCATGCCAGCAGGCGGAGGTAGTCCGTTGTTATGATACGAGAAGAACATTTTCACACCGGTGTCACTCACCACTCGTATTATAGGTAACCTACTAATGTAGAATAATGTCTGATAAAAAGATGAAAATGGTGCTGGCGTTGTCAGCCCTTGGTCTTTTAGTGGAAAAAGAAAAGAAGAGGCGGAGGCGACAAATTAAGGAGAAACCGCACTAATGAGTGAAAGCATGGATACTACAGCGGCATGCTCAAGGGGCTTTCCTGAACCTGTGAGGAGAGCTGGAGAGAAATGAAACCTCCAAACAGCCAATCAGGGAGATTCCAAAAAAGGCTGACGGTTCGCCGACTGGTAGCAGCGGAGCCGGACACTAGGGCGACGACCGCTCATCAACGGTTCAACTAGGGCTGACGGCCAACGGTCTCCTTGGTGTGTCTGGGCCTTAACATTAAAATACACCCTAAGATCCCTAAATGTCTTGGGTCTTTTCTCGGTCTCTGAGCACTCTGGTCTCGGTTAATGTGGTCTTGACTACAACACTGACATTATCGTATCACAACATCCATATCTCAGCTGCAGCATATTGCAAAAATGTTTAAAATGGCATTAATATCGTGTAGTGACTGAAGTATGGTGATAATATCGTATCGTGAACATATCGTATCGTGGGGCATTCCCCATGGAGACTAAACAATAAGTGGGTCTCCTCCCTGCACTACACCACTGCCCTGACAAATAACACTAAGCTGCCACACATTTAATGTATTCATGAGAAACAACAAAAGCACATTAAAAAAAGAAAAGAATAAACCACCTAATGATGAGTGTGAGGGGAAGTCAGCCGGATGCTGAACAAAGTGAGATGCTTTGTTAACTTCATACAGTGATTCATAATCGCGGTTTTGACGGATGAAGAAGTTCACAAAGTTGGTTTATCATCTTTGTTTTCACAAGCCAAGAGCCAAATGTAAAAATCCCCCCGTGAAGACTTTAAAGTGGAGGCGCAGAAAAGCAGGAAATCAACGTTTAAACTCACCTGACGTTGGAGTGACGGACAGCTGAGCGGAGGAGACACCGCCGACCCCCCCCCCCTCTCCCGCGGCACACACACACACACACACAAACACACGCACACGCAGCACACCAAAACAACTAAATGAATCACTATAGCAACACACTACCGTGTTAGTTTTCTACCCGAGTCGTTACGCTGTCGGAGGTGTGTTTTTAAGCTTCAGCTGTGACTCACTGGAAGAGGAAATCGGAGACAAAAAGATCCAGAGCGCAACATTTTTTTTTCGAGCCCCACCTGCTAGCTAACGTTAGCTCCGGTCCATCATTCTTCTTCTGCTCCCCGGAACAACTGGCGCAGTCGGCGGCTGTCCGGCGGACGCTTCATCACCCCTTTTCCGACCATAGTGACACCAAGTGGCCGCCCGGTGTATTACAACAGAAAAGCCGTTCAAGATGATCGCTAGATACATAGATAGCCTACATAGATTAGATAGATATATATATCTGGGACTCACAAGCAGAGCCCTCAGACAGAAACTCAATCAGAATAAACCAAATTATTAAACAACAAAAATAAAACTACTGAACACATTGGGAAGAATCAACCAGAAAACAGAGCAAATTAGAGTGTTACCTGGCCCTAAATAGAGATTACACAGTGGCAGAATATCTAACCACTGTGACTGATACAAAACTGAGGGAATGTTTACAGACTCAGGGAACACGGCCTCGCCACCGAGAGGGCGCCATAGACAGACCTGGCTCCCCATAAATCCTCTATGTCCTGTAAATTTGTCTTTTTAATGTTCATTTTATCGAGTATTGTTACTTTGTTGTTTTTATTTCTGCTTTGTAAGGTGACCTTGAGTGCTTTGAAAGGCGTCTTTAAATAAATTGTATTGTTATTATTATTATACAGACGATTGCATGGCTTTAACAAGTCATTACTATCTTTGCTAGCGAGGTAGAGGCTAAACCCTCACAAGTGAAGGATGAGTAACACCTTTAACAGGTGCCAAATGATCTTAACTGTTTACATCTGTGTGTCTGTCTGTTGTGAAGCGATTTCTTGCTGTAACTTGCTTTGGTAGGAGCAGAAGAATAGGTCTGACTTATATATTATTATAGAAATATTATTTATGGTTACAACAAATTATATTAGAAATAATACTGAGGGGGCTCCAGCCCCCAAAAGACTGACTGGGCATGACCTCATCGAATGCACTAATGATCTCTGCACACTCACTGTGCAGACACACAGAGGTGGAAATATACTTTAAAACACATTCTTATATTTGTATTTGATTTATCTGTAAGTTATCTGTAGCCATCTGTGTTTATTTAAAGAGCTAAGTTAAACATAAACTGTTTGTGTGTTGAGGCTTCATTCCTCTTGTCTCAGACCCGATTGTTCATATTGAGTCGTCTGTTTTTCGATTATTTGTTTTTCATTTGGGGGTTTATTTTCTCACTGTCTTTGACAATTTAAAGGTGGTCTTCCTGTTGCCAATAAAGCCTGCTTTCAATTCAAAATAAGATTTGTTGTTTGATATTACTTAATTTTTCACCAAAAATCCTCAAAAGATGTAGAATTATTAATTTCCAACCAAAAGTGGAAACAAATAAAATGTTGAATTTCCCTTTTTTTAAACTCCAAAAGCTGCAAATTTGTAGTTTTATACAGTAGCTGCTAAAGTGCACCTGTAATCTCTGTAGCATACACTGTGAAAGATTCTGATGCTGTCACATGAACACTTCCTGTTACTGAGGGCTGCATAAAACAGAAGAGACCAGTTTACAGTTTACCTTCATTTATTGATTAATTGAGAGGTGAACATCACAAATAAGTGCAAAGAATGAATGCATCTGTTGTTGGGGTTTTTTGGTTGCAGAATCATGAATTAAAAACAATTAAAATGACAATAACATGAATCATTTGAATCACTTCATACAATCACAAAGGTCCTTTCTTCAGATAGATCTTCATATAATGATCGGACACACACACACACACACACACACACACACACACACACACACACACACACACACACATGCACATTCAATCACTTGACCTGACATTAATCCTAAAATCACTTTTTGTCATTCAAGCAATGAACAGTGGAATTTACACATGTACACAATAAATAGGACAATAAATAGAATAACTTACACCTATTTCAAAGATTCAACATCATCTATGTTTGCAACTGTTAATGATTAGTAAAGGTAGTAAAGTGAGAGGACGAATCAACCTTTCTTAACCTGGCTTTTAAAAGGTAAAATATTAGATTTGCATAGTGAAAAAAATACACAGTATAAGTTTGATATAGGAAAAGAAATAAATACATCTCTGCATTTAACGTTCAAAAAGAGTCCATCAATCGTGAAACACAAATAAAAATTTGCTGGTCTTTAAAAGAGTGCAACAGCTAAGACAGCCACTGTGACAGAAATGATGCTGATTTTGTTGTTCACTGCATTCCCTGTTGCCGAGGACCCTCCTGATCCTGATCCTGCTGCGGAAGAACTTGAAGTAGTGCCAGTGCCAGTGCCAGTGCCAGTACCAGTACCAGTGCCAGTGCCAGTACCAGTACCAGTGCCAGTACCAGTTCCAGTGCCAGTGCCAGTGCCAGTTCCTGCTCCGGCACCTGTTGCAGATGCTGCTGGTGCTTCTGTTGCTGTGTTGGCCTGGGGTTCTCTTGACACGGCTCTTTCTGCACCCGATGCTGCTGCTGAGGCGGCTGATGCTGCTGCGTCTGATGATACTGCCATTGATGCTACCAGGTCTGCTGCATCTTCTGCTGTTGGTTCTGACACTGCACCTGCTGCTGTTCCTATCGCTGCCTCTGCTGCCAGTGCTGCTGTTTCAGCCATCTTTGCCACAATTTGGGCCTCTTGTATTGATGCCTTCTCCTCAGCTGTCGGCCCTGGAATGGCTGATAACACGTTGTCTAATTTTCCCCATGCGTCTTCTGTTTCCATAGCAACTTTTTTGGCAGCTTTTGCAGCTGCTTTCAACTCTTTTTGGTCTGCATTATCAGATGCTGCTTCTGCTGCAGTTTCTGCTGCTGTTTTTGCTGCTTTTGCTAATTGTGAAGCTGATGCTGCTACTTCTGCTGCTTGCTTTGCTGCTGATTCTGGTCTTGTTTCTATTGCGGCTTGTATTGCTGCTTGTGATGCTGCCTCTGCTGCCTCTGCTGCTTTTCTTGCTTCATTTACAGCAAATTCTTTTGGTACTGACCCCTCTTGCAATAATGCAGCAGCTATTTGTGCTGATCTGGCAGCTTTTGCAGCAATTTTTGCTTCTTCCGTTGCTCCAGCAGAATTTGCAGCTGCTGCAGCTGCGGCGGCTACTGCTGCAGTTGCTGATGTCATTCCAGCTACAGCTGTTTCCTGTGCTTTGGCTCTTACAGCTTCTAATGCAGCCCCTCCTGTTGCAGTTTCAGCTTGTGTTGTCTCAAAGGTAATTGGTCTTGCTGTCGCATTTCCTGCTGATTCTGTATAAGCTATTGACAATAAAGCTGCTGCTGCTCCAGCTGCAGCCTCTGCAGATCTTGCTGCAGCCTTTGCTGTTGACATCATTACTTTTGTGTTGTTTGTTGATGCAATGTTTGCTGATGCTTCTGCTGTAATTGCTGTCGCTTCTGCCATATCTGCCACTGTTTGTGCTATGACAACTGCTGCTTGTGTTTCCTCTGTCATTTCTTTTGCTATTTCATCTGTAACTGCTGACAACGCTTCTTTTGCTCCTTCTGCTTCTCTTGCAACCCTTCTTACAGCCTGTGCAGTTGCTGTAATTGCTCCTGGTGTGACTTTATGTGAAGCCATGGTAGCGGCTCTTGCTGCTCCTCTTGCTGCCTTTGCTGCTTTTGAAGATGCTTCTGCTATCTGTTCTGCTACATCTGCTGTAGATGCTGGTGCATTTTGTAGTGCTTGTAATGCCTCTAGTGCAACTTCTTCTGCTGCATCTGCTGCATCTGTGGCAGCTTTTGCTGCTAATGTTACTGTTGTATCTCCTGCAGCCAATAATGCAGAAGCTTTGGCTGCTACTTCTGCAGCTTCTACTGCATTTTTCATTGCTTCAGACACATGTACTCCGGCGGCTGCTGCTGTTGAAGCTGCTACTGCTGTTGCTGCTGCTGCTGCTGCAGTGGATGTAGTCACAAGCGCAGCTTGTTCTTCTGTGACTGGTGGTGATATTGTTGGCACTTGATTAGTTGGCAGCAATGTCAAAGGAATGATGTTTGTATTTGGTAGTGCATTTTTTGCTGCTGTTGCTGCTGCTTCTGCAGCTTTTCCTGCTGCTTCTGCTGCTGTTTTCATGATTTCTGCAATTTCATCCGTTGTCTCCATTCCAGTTGCTGCTGATACTGTTTGTGCTGCTGCCTCTGATATTTCTGCCACTGCTTTTGCTGCTGACATTGACACGAGCCTTGTTGCTGCTTCTGGATCACTGGCAGAGGATATTTTAGTTTCTAAGATTTCTGCTGCATTACTTGAAGTGTCGGCCACTGATTCTGCTGCTTCTGCAACCTCAATGATTGCTGTCGGTTTACCCAAGGCTGCCATCTCTGCTGCTGCTGCTGCTTTTTCAGCTGCCTCTGCTGCCATTAATGCTGCACCTGGTAGTCCTGCAATTGCTGCTGCTCTAGATTCAGGTGCTGTGTTTGCTTCTTGTACTGCTGCTTCAGCTGCTGCTCGGGCAGCTTTAGCAGCTTTTGTTGCAGCTTTTGCTGCCACTGTTGCTGGTTCTTCTCCTGCAGCCACTAATACAGCAGCTCTGGCTGCTTCCTTTGCAGCTATTATAGCCTTTTCTGCATCTGGAGATGTTGTTGCTCCAGCAGCTACTGAAGTTGCGGCTGCTGCGGCTGCTGCTGTGGACGCTGCTGCAGCTGATGCAGAAGCTGCTGCTGCTGTCAGTGTAGCTGCTGCTCTTGGAGCCAATGTTTTGGGAAATGCAGCTTTTGAGGCTTCAGTCGCGACCTTTGCTGCAATCACTGCAGCCTTTACTGCGTTGTTTGTGGATAGAGCTTCCTTCTCATCTACTTGTGTATCTGCTTCTTCAGCTGTTGTATTTGCAGCAGCTTTTGTGGCCTCTGCTGCCTCGTTAGCTTTAGTTGCTGCCTCTGCAGTCAATTCTGTGACTGTTTCTGCTGCTTTGATAGATTCTTTCAGTTCTTCTGGAATGTTTGTTGCAGCTGCAAGGAAAGCTTGTATTTCTTCTAGAGCTTTGGCTGCATCTTTTGTGGCATGTGCTGTGTCCACTGCAGCTTCCTCTGCAGCTTCTTCTGTTGTTGCTTGTGCAGCATTGACTACGGCTTCTTCTACTTTGTCTGCTGCAAGTGTTGCATTTGTTAATAGCTCTGCCAGTGAGTGTGCAAGATCTGATGTAGATGCTGGTGCAGTTTCAGCTGCTTGTTGTGCTGCTACTGCTGCTGCTTTGGCGGCATCTACAGCTTTTTGGGCAATTTTTGCTGCTTGAGTTGGTGTCAGAGTTCCATTTTGGACGGCTACGGAAGCCAATGCTGCTTCCTCTGCAGCTTCTGAGGCGGCCTCTGCGGCAGCTAATGCTGCTTCGGCTGTGGGTCCAGTGGTGGCTGCTGCTACTGTTGCGGCTGTTGCTGCTGAAGTTGCTGCAATTGCTGCTGCTGTGGCTGTTCCTACTGCTGCTGCTCTTGCTGAAGTTTCTGCAGGTGATGGTCCTGTGGGGTTTGCCTCGGTGGCTGCTGCATTTGTTGGGGCTCCTGTAGGTGACGGTCCTGTGGGGTTTGCCTCGGTGGCTGCTGCATTTGTTGGGGCTCCTGTAGCCGGGATGTCTGTTGTGGCAGCTATGGTGGACGTTGGAGCCATAGTAGTGTATCCAGGACACTTGGCTTGCAGGAGTCCCTCCGCTTGCTGGCTGTAAAATACTGTTGGTACGAAAGTGTTTGGTCAGAATTCATTCATATATGTCTCCATGATTTGTTCTCATTGTATAAATATAACTTTTAATACTAACCAGCAACAATGAGGGTGACTATAACAGTCTTGACGATCATCCTGACTTCTTTTTGATCTCCTACACGTACTCCGAAAAGATGTCTGATGATGTTCTATAAAATGTGAAAAAGAGGTGGTTATGAAAACAAATTAGAGATTTAACAAGCTTCCATTTCTCAGGGGGGTAACTTGTAGTTTATATTTCAAATGAAAAAACATGTGAGACCCAGAGGGGTTCCTTATTCAGTCCCTCTATGAAGAGGTCTAATTCATTCACTGAAATAATAAAATCCAAATCTGTTTATTGGTAACGGTGAGTATTGTATATTTTTGTATTTTGGATAAGCGTTTTTATATATTTACGGATGGTAGGCATCTACAGGCTTGCTCCAACAGTATTTCGTTGTACTTGTAAAGTGACAATAAAGATATCTTATCTTCTAGGAAACACTAAAGGTGTATTTGCATGTCTGAGGGTGTTGGACTTGGAGCTGCACTTGAACAGAACACAGATTATGACAACTACAAATAGATGGGCGTATTCTGACTTTAAGTGGAAATGTCAACTCTTGTGAAGTGAGTGCTATAATATTCTAATAGATTAGAACACACAGTGACTGACATTCGGGGACCACAGCTGAATGAAGTCCTTCTGATCCGAGCTGTACAAGAAGCCTTTAGAGCCGGCCGGGCCTACAAGTTCCCATGCAGGGACGAGATATCCAATTAAATGTTTCAAGTGTTAACAAGATGCAAGAAATGCCCCCAAATCAAAATTAAAAAAAAAAAAAAGAAGCTGAGAGGACAAACTGATGACCAGTCAAAGATCAAACAAACGGAAAAAAAGGATGGCGGCACATCCAAACAGCAAGCAGCAAAAAACGTGTGCACACTTAATACCTGTGAAAACATCTTTGTTCTCTGATCACTTCACAAAACAGCGAATCCCTGCATAGCAGCACAGTGGCATGGTAACAAACATTGAGGCTCTGATTTCTGTGTTTCGCTGCTTATTATTATTATTATTATTATTATTATTATTATTCACAATGAGTCCACTAGATTCAAAAAAGGTGGATTAAATCCTGAAGAGTATAAGCAAACAGCCTTCATCCATCGTTAAAAGAGACGGGATGGCTTTTCTTGTGTAACAACAGCGTACAGAGAAATGTGAAGTCACAATACCAAAGTAAAAATAAAAAACATCAAATTGAAGCTATGCACTCAATTAAAAAAAAAGTCTATCAAAGAAAAAAAAGTGCAAAACAACATTTCAAAATTCTTTACCTGAAAGATTTAGTTTTTATGGATAAAGAAAAGAACAAATGTAGTTTGCACTGCGCAGAAACCAAAGCTAAAATAATCCCTGCATTGATTTAAAAAAACGAGTTTCAAAGTCTGAATAAAAACAATCAGACAAAGTTGAAAGCTTCAGAAGTGAAGAAAGACTCATACCTGGATGATGAAGTGAAGTCTGTGTGCTGTCTGTTCTCTGTCTCCTTTACCTCTTCTCCTCGACTGTTTCTCTGATCTGTGTCTCTCAGCCTGGCGAGCCCTCCTTCATATATATTTCAATTACGTCAAATAATAAAATTAATTTTAATGACAGGCCTGCTCTCCCACACCCAGTAAGGTGTGTTCCCTCTCTGTAAATGGAAACTGATTGGAGCCTGAGTCTTGTTAGGTCACACAGGCTATTGTGCCAATTTTATTTTATTTTTGGACAGATAATTAGGCGTGTATTGTTCCTTTACGTCGGTGGCACTTAGTGTCTGAACCTCTAGGCGTCACTATGGGTATTTACATATTTGTCAAATGATTGGTACAAACCTATTCTGCTTAACACAAAACAGGTAACAACAGCACACACCACACCTGTCCCAAAGACCAAAAGG